GGGGGGGGGGATGTACTCATAGTCTTTCATGCCGTAGTCGTTTACTGTTGGCCTCGTCTCCCTACAAAGCCGGGACGGAGCACGCCGGTTCTCACCGGACCAGGCTCTCACATCAAGCGCGAAGAGCCGTTGGGTATTCCGCGAGTCGCATGAAGGGTGCGCTGCATCTTGCTAAGGGTGTTCGGCATCTTGTGCTTACTTCCTCATGTACGGATGACAGCTGCGTATGACCAAATATAATTTCTGGTGCTTCCACTTCCAGAGGCAGTTGAAAGCACTGTGTAACTGCCTCGAGGGTGCTTGACCATTTCAACACGTGGTGCGATTATCCCCCTTGCGCGGAGTAAGCGTTCTCCACCCGACACAACATGATCTCCTCGACCACCATTCATGGTTACCGCAAGAAGAAAAAAAAACGAAGGCAAAATAGACAGCGGCAACCTGGTTGCCGAGCTCAAGAAGTGATCGGCTTGTTTTACAACATCGCTGCCAAGGGACGAAAACCCAACCCCGATGGCAAACACCGGGGGAGGGATAATGCTGCAATCTGATATTAGAGTAAGGCACAGCTGGATCGACCCAAGGGGGGAACATGGTATATGGATCCCTACCGGTTCCGAATCTAACAAAACACGCTTCACTGCACACGACAGCCATGACGCCTGCCTGCTTTGGATAACACGCGTCTCGGTGGGTGGGGGTTCGGCTGCGACAGGTAAGCAAACACGCCTCCATTTCGCACGAGGCGGCATGCATGCTAGAGTATTAATAGCATCGACCCTTTTATTATCCCGACACGCACGAAACCCCACGGTGCTTGAGCATCATTCCTCTGGCCGAATGAAACCTGCTTCTAGTTACGCCGCAGATACATACTTCGAAGTATAGGTACAAACTTGCGGCATTCTGTTCGGTAAACCTTTCGTCACCCTCAAGAGTGACGAAGTGTCACCATCCTTGTGGCAAAACGAAAAATGCATCCAAGATCGTATTCCTTTCTTGACGTTGTCTACACTATTGACAGTGCATGAAGAGCTCCGATCAAGGGTCATAGGCAAGAATCCCTCTGGCATGCATTTATGAAGTTTTGACTAAATGGTGTTTCACTCAATCCCAACAAAGCTAACTACCGTTGGAGTTCAACGCGGAATCATGCCTCGCTCATCCAGAAATACCGACTTGTGTGTCTGGAAAGCTTTACCAGATGAAACTTGTTGTTCTTATTATGCATACAGCACACGTACAAGAGAGGTTTGCTCCTTGACGCACCTTCGTTGCCATCGGCACCCCATCCAACGTGATCAAGCCGCCCATGCTGCTAGCACTGACGGTGCTATTGGACCTTGTACGCCCCTCGGCGGTAACGCCTCGCAAGGCGTAACTTTCCATGGCGAATGGCGGGTCCCACGAGTTTTGCGACTGGATTGACGGCGACTGCGCCAACTGCTGTTGCGGCTCCACCTGCAGACGAAAAAATTGGTAGAGCGGCTGAGAGATGGCAGCGTGTCTTGAGCGTGCTGTTCGCATACAGCAGATGTGGACCCGGTCTACTGCGCTGAATAGCGACATGCCCTGTTGAAGCGACCACAAAATCGCATTGCCAACAGTAATAGAGCCGGTAACTAGCCGGTGACACAGTCACTTGCCCTGAATAGCGACGACATTCCCCCTCAACACTGCTGTACTGCTGTGATGGTCGCTAAACCGGGTACCCCCAGAAAGAAAGCGACACCAATATCCTGTACAGCAATATAGCGACCATCAAAAAGCGTGGCACAAAGACCGGTGATGCACGATACATAGGCCGTAGAAGGGTGCTTCCTGAAAATTAGGGGTCGCCAACCGGGCCCACCACCGGAGGCATGGATACTCATTTATATGCATACGCATGGGTTTCATATGTCCTCGACGCTCCACTCTACTCTTACCTGCGTCGAATTCAACTGGCTACAGGAAAGAAAAAAAGAGCGTCGAAGGCGAGAAGGTACATCATCGTCTGCAGCTTCGGACTCTTTAGTATGACGACTAGAACCTTCTTCCGAGGAGAATAACGGAACAACGGCCCTACGTGCTGTACCTGGCAGGGCGCGGATTGGAGAAGTGCATCACCCCAAGGTCGACGCCTCTGTTTTTCGCCTGGCTGCTTGCCATTAAACTAACTAACGATTTGTGTGACACAAAAGTGCTGCTGCTTTTGTGGGGTACTGCTGCAGTACTGCTGCTGTATCACAAACCTTGGGAGGGACTTCCGATCGCGGAACGGCTCGCTTGGCCTCTACTCTCCGGTTGTCTACGATGTGCTGCTTCACGGAAAGCGCGGCATCCACGCTCGCCGAATTCATGTAGGTGATGAACCCGAAGCCTCGCGATCGTCGCGATACCGCGTCCTTCATAACGATCGCGTCCGCGACGGGACCGAATTGCTCGAAATACCGCTTGAGAGCCTCGTCGGTCGTCTCGAACGAAAGACCCCCGATGAAGATTTTCCTGTGAGTTTAGTTGTAGAAAAAAATGAAATTGAAGGGGACGCGACCGATCAGTATTAACACGTAGAAAATTGGTCGCCGTCGTTGTGGACGCCAAGGTACGGGAGGGAATGACGGAGGCCACAGCAGTGCGTTGGACCAGCAGAGCTTGTCTTCAAAGACGGCAAGAAGAAGAGCCAAGGAAAGGCTTTGTTGATTACGTTTAAATAATTCATGTACACGGCTCGTCCACGTGGGTTGTTGCTTGCACAAGCGTGGGGGGGGGGGACCTTTTTTTTCAGACACAAATCAAATAAAAAACTTCCAATTGACGCATGCACGACGCGCTTCGATTGCCTCCAGGCCCCCTCCTCAAATGGACCAGGGCAGCGACATGCAGTCATTCGGCGCCGGTTGGGTACGCTTGCGAATAATTCTGCGCCCTCTACACACACGTCAATACCAAGACACACAGGCAACCTGGTCACAACGTAAATCACCCCGCCTCCCGCGGCTCTCTCCCTCCGCTCTGAAGCTTAAGTCATGGACACACAGGAGTCATCCGGAACGAATTGCTGACTCTCTGACTCTGCGACTCCCGGCCCTTGCGCCCATCTTCCCTGGCCTACCACGGCGGAATTCAGAGGCACTTACACGCTTCGTCGGTATGTTTCCCCCATTGTAGCCCTTGCCGCTGCTCTCCTTCCTCTTTCCTCGCTCCCAAGCTGTGCCTGCACAGGCTCTCTTCCTCCACGCTCGCTTTCAGCAGCAGCAGCAGCAATGATGTTGCCCTACACACAAAACAGGCGCGATCCGCTTGTGTGTAGCTCGCTCTTTTCAAATGAAGAGCCCCAAAAATAACCAAACGAGCGAAGATCAAGGCACTCGAACCGAAGATGAAGTGGATCTTCCTTCCGTGCCGCGTGGGGATAGAGGGGACGGCTCGCCACACGACACCTCAGCACTCTCGGCAGGAACACGCGCGGAGTCAATTCAAAAACAGCAGGGTGCAGGGTGCGGGATTTTTTATAGTTATCAGCCCGCCGCTGCCAGACAATAGCACACCAGCGCGCGCTTTGGGATCGCTGCAGATCCCTGGGTCGGACTCGAGATCGCCGGTGATCGCTGGGCAGATGGCTAGCGATGCTCGGTATATGGCTTGTGCAAGTCTTGCCCTGTGAAGGAGCAAATAAGTGGCGTGTGACAATCTGATCTCTACTTTACTGCTTGATAGGGATTCGTTTTTTTCTTCCGAAATGAAAAAAATAAAAAAACGGTGAGAGTTGGGGCGGATCCTTGTGGCCGTCTGTCTGGGGGACGATAAGCAAAGCTGAAAAGCTGTTAGGATCGATCTTACTTGGTCCTCACAGAGAGCACTACGTTGGGATGACAAATGGACGACCCTTCCGCCGCCCTCTTCCGTGCAAAGTACGTATAAATGTTGGCGGTTGTGTTGAAGGAATTTTGGCGGATAGTCTGCGCGTTTGTGTTCTTTATGAGTGCCATCAGTGCGTTGTCATGAGACATTCATCCACAGCAACAGCGGTACAGCAGTAGTGTGCAGAACAACCAATTACTCGGCAGCCAAATGTATTTCGCAGGTGATGGTAATCCATGGTCATTACGTGTCATCATGCTGGATCACGCATGACCTGCTGGACGTAACACGTAGGCGTGTAGCTTGGCGCCTGCCTGCTGCGCACTTCAGTTCCGCCGCTTTGCACTGCTGTAGAGCAGTGCTCGAGTACACCCGGCAGCATATGTGGGGCGGGAGACGTTAAACCTTGCACCCACGTCATTTTCGCACTACTCCAATCACTACCGCAGTACCGCACACAAATAGCGACAACACCAACCATTCCTATTCGTATTTTTTGTCAAGATGCATTTTCGCCAACATAGCAGAGCAGCAGCGAACAGTATTCTACAATATAGAACATTAACAATAGTCTACAACCAGAGAGCGGTTTGTGTTGCTGGCGGGGGGTGTCGTCACTCGTCAGGTATCAGGTGGCGTTCATGTGTCTACGTCTCCTCTATTATGGCGCTATTGCTGTAGTCTACACCATTTGGTACAAGTTATTCGACGTACATATCAGCCTGGGTCACACAAGGAAGGCAGGAAAATAATGAAAAGGGATTTGGATTTGCGGACGACACAACGAATGGACTGAACTATTTAGTCTACATGCATGCGTCGAAGAATGCATACATTCTGTATGTGGAATGCATACATTCTGTGTGTGGACAGCTAAACGTATTTATAGTATCAGCCGTGCAGACAAATGTAGGCGTACAAGGTCGGATAGTATACTGCCGCTAAGGTCCACTACACTGCTGGGCCTCTGGGTGCTGTTAGATGTTGGTTCTCTACGGCGCTCCAGGACACAAACGCGTCGTGTTCGCGAAGACCCAACAAGCAAAAAAGTGACCGTCCACGAGTCTCTATTCGTAGCATTGTTGTGAACTACAGCAAACTGCCGTAGACACAACCCCAATAACGATGTCATTAAACCCGTCGGACGTTCCGATTTGTATTGGCGCGACGATTGAAGTCTGGTAGCTTATAAGGATGAGGCGCTACGCATAAATCACTGCTGTGAAGGTCTGCACGGTCTATTATGTTGTATAACACATGAAGTCTACATCCTTAAATGAACAAGCAGGTACGATTCATTGAAATCTACCTTTGAAGCGAGGTTGGCCAGCTTGGCCGGTACCATCCGCTTGGCAGTCGAGAGTACCCAGCAGAATCAAGTGCTCCTGCAGCTCAACGCCAGCGAAAACACGAGAGAGTTCGCACCAGCTCATGCGCAGGCTCTGATAAAGCAATATCTAGCATCAGAGAGGGACACCTTTTCACACGACTTAGCAATTCGTCTTGCCGAGGTCGAGGCTGAGCTTCTTCGATGCAGTCGGCACAACGAGGAGCTAAGGAGCGTCGTGGCAGTGTTGAAAGGCGAAGCTGCGAGAGGAGAAAGATCCAGGTCTGAAGCCATCGCTGTCGACGCCGATATTCAGGAGCTCCGTCGGGAATATCAGGTTAGTTCGTGCGATTTTGAAGGAATTATCGGTGCAAATACTATGCCCACGTGCGAGATGAGGTTGCACCTCGTTAATACCGCTGACCTAATACACCAGAGCCCTTGCTATTAATGGTACTTAGGGTGTTTTGTAACTTTTTTGTTTTGTTTAGGGTGTTGTTTTGGGTATTATATAGCTTTGGTTTTCGGGACGCAGTATGTAGAGTACAGGGCATATGTACAATAGATTCGTCAAACAAACATGTTACCGAAAGGTGTGAACTGGGGCCAGAAAAGATGGGACGACAATCACACACATGATCAATGGTTTCAACCGCGCGGGGCCTGCTACAAGTACAAAACGGCCCTCGGCATCTACTGCAGGCAACATAATGCAGGAGGAAACTACCGGTGAACTTTGTGAATGAAAGACCAACAGCAGTCCCAGAGTCTGACGCAGCTTTCGTTTCAGCGTACACTTCCACCAGCGCCAGTTCCTCTACTCCAAAGGCTAGTTATCCTCCTGTTTGGCTTGGTTGGTGTGCTAAATACTGGTCTGAACAGGGGCAGTGCGGCGTTGGTACGGCCGGTTTTCGCCCTCTGGTCTTTCCGCCGACCAATGAAGTACGGGGAGCGACATCTTGCGGGCAACGAACTGTGAAAACTTGCGATAGTTACGATAGTGTTGTCGCCTAAGACCATGCATGTGCCCACCATGTTTCATGTTCTAGCGTATCAGAGTTACGCCAACAGTATGCATCAGATTTAGTGTGTTTGTAGTGCGGGAATGCACCCAACCGGTTGATGCCCCGAGCCCAATCAGAATGTGCCGCTTTCCTCCTTGCGTCTACACCGCCTAGATTGCTCTTGAAGACTCCAGCGCGGAATGCCGGCGTCTTCAGGCCAAACTCTCTCACGCCAAACGGCGATCGAGCGTGCTTAAGGGAGAGCGCGACGAGCAAGCAACGCAATCGCGGTCGCTGCAGCAGGCATTAGCGGATGCGGGGGCGAAAAAGCTGGAAGTCACCAGGTTTCATGTTTCGTTTTCAAGAGTGGTGGTGGTTTTGTTAAAGGCACTCGGTCGACATGCTTTGATATATTGCTGCTTGGTCTCGTTCCTGTATGTACTATTTCAGCCACGAGAACCTGCTTCTGGGAGTCGGCACTGGTCTTGCCATTGCCGTTGTGACTAGCAAACATCGCTTGCGTAGGTCGGCAATAATTTGTTCCATTGAACGTCCATGTAGTCCGCGTCTTGTACGCGACTACTGTCGATACCAGGACTCGTGAATCGCGGAGCGAAAAACATCTCTTCTGCCTGAAGTACCGCGTTAAGCACGTGTGTCCATGAGTTGAGAAGCACTGGTTAACCCCGAACTGTAATTCAGGCTCAACGACGAGCTCAGTGAAGAGAAGTCAAGATTTGTCAAACTATCGTCGGAGCTTGCGCAAGCTCAGCAGAGAGTCGATGCTCTCGCTTCAAGCCACCAAGAGCTCAAGTTCCAGGCAAGAGAGCGACCGACTACGATTTAGCCCGACGATGTGTGATTTTGTTGTCCGACTTCAAGACACGTTCGGTTGCCAGTTTATTCGGCGATAGGAACCACTTGCGTAACCGGAACACTCGACGGTCGATTCCACCGCCTGTTTGCGCGCAGACCCAGTGCCTCCAGAAAGATTTGACCCAGAGAGATAAGCGGCTGCAGCTGGCGGACGCGAACAAGAGAAAGAGCGAGGTGAGTGAGCTACTCAAAAGTTGCGCTCCATGAGGGTAATATGCACGGCAGCGAAGGAGGTGCGTATGCGAACGCGCGCAGTGGGCTATTTCATTCGTGAATACGTCCTCTCGTGACCCTATGCTGGCTTCTTTCGTTGCCCCGCCTCCAGGGTCCTCTTTGTTGACACTTGCTCTCAAGTCAGCCTTTGACGTGCTCGTGGTGGTAATTGCCCCGTATCATCCCCGGCTTGTTGGTGCCTTCCGACCGTTCTTCCCTCCCTCCCTCCCTCTGCCGAACATGTCGTCGTGCGTTGCGTAGGCACGGTTCCGCGAAGCCGTTACCCGGATGGAGTCACTGATGGAAGGAGAGGCCAAAGATAGCGCCGCCGCAATCAAGAACCTGCGCGATAAGGCCTTGTTAACGAAAGAAAGGTGGGCGTCTTGACCGGCCAATAGCCACGGACGGTGTTTCTGCAACACGTCGTATTATTTTCCCGACTAAAAGTCACTTGGTAAGTACTTGCTATCCCGAGCGTTCTCCATGGCAAACAGTAGTGGTACGACAAAACCGAACCCTTTTCCTCGGCACGGTGGAGTTGGTGCTCTTGGGCAAAGCGCTGCAAAACATGCTACCCCAAGTATAGCCCCCATAGCGGGTGCGCTACAAAACAAATGAGTGACACATGGACGAGCGGAGTGAGGATGGCTGTCTCACGATTGACTGATGTTTGAGATTGCCGGCCACATACCCGCCTTGGGTGAGGATAGCTGCATACTCAAACCTCACAGGTTGAGTGGTGTTTTGGAGTGCGGACACATGGACACATGATGATAGCTGCATTCTGAAACCTCCGGGTGGTTTGAAGCTTGAGATTGCCGGACACATAGAAGCGTTGAGTGATGATAGCTGCGTACGAATCGTGGAGAATTCTTCAAGCAGTACCTGAGTGAGGGGTGTTGAGAACAGTATAGGGTAAAAAAAACAGGTGAAGGGAATAGTGCAGAAGACCAACGGAGGCTGGGAGGGGAACGTAAAGCAAATGTGGCAACGGATTAGCGGGATGGTGAAAAAAGATTGCGCAGGGGGGGGATACAGGGGTAGCAACATTGCGAGGTGTGAACGTTGGACTAGTCAGCAATGGAAAGGGAAACAGGGAGATTCTAGTAGGACACTACGAGAGACTTAGAGTGCCGTCGGAGAATGAGGTTTTGACCAAGCGTTTAAGAAGGTTAACACGTGGGCCCAGGAAGAAGAAGAGGCATCGAAGGCAGACGTTGCAAACGAATAGCTAGAGAAGGAGTTCACTGAGGATGAGGTTGAGAATTGTGTGAACAAGCTGCAGTGCCACAAGGCAGCAGGGGCGGATGGCATAGTAACGAGTTCATGAAGTTTGGGGGGAAGGGGATGGTCCAGTTGATGGTGCTGCTGTACAACTTGGTGTGGAAAAACGAGTATGCGCCAAGTAGATGGAGGGAAGGGGTGGTCGTGAACTAGTGTAAGATGGGGGACAAGACTGACCCGGGAAACTAGAGGGGGATCACACTGTTTAACACAGTAGGAAAAGTGGCATGTAAGCTGCTGCACGATGGGATAGTTGGAGCATTGGAGAAAGAAGATAGGATAGGTGAGGACCAGCCAGATTCCCGAAAGAAGAGGGGGTGCGCGGACCACGCATTCATGGTTGGGAGAATCATCCAAGGTAGAAAGACGGCGGGGAAGCCAACGTACTGTTTCTTCTTGGACGTGAAAAAGGCATACGATACAGTATGTCGGAATGAGCTGTCGAAACAATCGTCCAAACATGGGATAAAGCGGAAAATATGGAGAGTGCTGAAGCAGATGACGGAGTGTACGAAAAGCGCTGTCATGTTTGACGGAGAACTATCTAAATTCTTCAATATTGAACATGGAGTCCCACAAGGTTGAACTTTGTTCACAACATTTGTTCCAGATGTTCATAAACGATCTGTTGAAAGTCGTAGGGCAGTTGGGAAGGGAGTAAAGGTAGACGAAACTTCGGTGCCGGGATTGCTGTTTGCGGATGATTGCGTTTGGATGTCTGATACCGCTGAGGGACCTCAACTGCAGATTGATGCAGCGAAGGAGTTTGCTGACAAGGGGAGATTGTCTGCCAACGTTAAGAAGAGTGCCGTCATGGTATGCAACGTGGACAGGGAGAAACCATTCGAGTATAGATGGAAGTGGGGGGTCGAGGAGCTTGCGGTAGTGGATCAGTACGCATGTCTCCGAGTAGAGATTGCAAAAGACGTTCGTGGAATGTACACATGTCCAAGGTAGCAGAAAAGGGCAAAGCACGAGCAGGGAAGCTACACCCGATACTCCCAAAGCGGCACCTCGATACACGCATCAAATCTGACGTCTGTGAGGAGCGTAGTCGTACCGCCGCTAGAGTACGCCGGAGAAGTATGGAAAGGAAATAAGAAGGTAAGACAAAGAGCTCGAGGCGGCGCAGATGGAAGCAGCGGAAATTTTCCTAGGATCCTCCAAGCGCACAAGTAGTGCAGCCGTCAGGGCAGAACTGGAAATCCAATCCCTACGATCGCAAGGAGACGCCAGGAAGCTAAAATGACAGCACGGCATGTGCGCAATGGGAAAAAGAAAGGTTGCCGAGAACAGCTGGGAGGCGAAGCTGGTAAACAAGTAGAGAGGTCGACACCCCACGGGGTGCCACGGAGCGGGTCAAGGTTGTAGATGACGTATGGAAGGAGTCCGAAGGTGAAACGCTGGAAACGGAAGGTCTAGAGGGGTTCAAGGAGAAAACATCTGTTGCTTTTGCAGAGGGAGAACCAAGGATAAAGAGGGTCTAGATGTGTACGGAACGTTGAAAAAAGGAACAGGGTTCAAGGAGTAACTACATGGGCCAATGGATGCAGGGACAACGCTGGAGGCCAAATTTAGGACCGGGGACATTGTTCTTCAAGAACGTAGACGAAGATTTAGGCAGGTGAAGACGATGAAGACGATAAGTTCAAATGTGAACGCGGCTCCGAGTGCCTAGAGCGGGTTTATGTAGTTGCGGAATGTTCGTTGTACAAGAGGGAGAAGGAAGGTACAGGGAGATGTTTGAGGCATGGAATAGCCAGGACAAGACGTTAGCTGTACTGGGGCATAAGAAGTGGGTTGGAAAGGCGGGAAGTGATATCGACGGGATAGATAGGCTAGGGAGAACATGTTTGAGTCACCTTTGGCAAAGTAGGACGGGACGATTGGCCATCGGTGATCGGTCCTGTGGCAACAATGCTCCGTCCTCTCGAGGACGCGTGATCTCATTTATTAGTCTAACCGCTAAGGCATGCAAAACATAAGAGTACGCCCCCTCCCTTCCCCCGGCACCTGCAACCTCCTCCTGAACGAAACGCAGGCTGTCCACAGAAGTCGAACGGCTGCGCGGTGAGAACGGGCACCTTATGAGGGGTATAGCAGACGCTGAGGCGAGGGGCTCGGAGCTCGAACTCCGCCTCCAAGCGGCGCTGAAAAGCAAGGAGATAGACGCGGCCGCGGGCGCCGCCCGCGAAGAAGCGCTGCGAGCGACCGCGGAGCAGGCACGGGCTAGGGCCGACACAATGAGCCAGAGTCTGGCCGAGGTAAAACATGAAGTCCTGCGGTGGTGCGTGTGATTGCAGTTGAGGCCGGCCCCTCGGCATCAGGTTGACGTACGCGTTGATGGTCGTTTTTGCTACACCCAGGCCCATGCGAAATTTTTCGCTCCTCATTTTGCTGCTTGCTCGGTACCGTGTGTGGGCGGCTGCTCTCTCGAACACTCGTAGGCCATTCGTGAGCAGTCTGGGTTACTGACGGAGACGGCGAACGCGAAGGTCGCTGCCGAAGTTCTCGAGGCCAAGAGCAGAGCGGCCGAAGTGGAGGTGGGCTAGGGTTATAGTTGGGGCAATTGGCGTGCTGCATCGTGGAGTGGTGGATAGAAGTCAAGGATTTCTGTGCCGAGGCTGTCCGGTCGAAGCTGTCAGATGTAGCCAATGCTTCCAGCGTCTATGCCAATACCAGTCCATACTAAATCACTATCAATCGTGCCATGGGACCTCACAAGCACCCACTTCCTCGCACAAGTGTTGTCTGAAGTTGTCTCAACAACATATGCCTGCTTCGAATCTGTGAGAGCAGCAATTCACACTTTGAATGATGCTCTGGCATTCCATGTGCTGATTCACACTCCGCGTGAGGCTGTGACACGCCATGAATCGATTCACACTCTGAACGACGTATTGCAGATGGCACGAGCAGCCGGACGCGAGACAGCACGAGCTCAAGCAGCAGCCAACGACTGCGCCCCTACCGCCATTAATCTACCAGGCCCCGGATGGGAGGTTGACGTGCGTGAGCTGTTTTTGGCGATATCGTAGTGAGCAGATACGGGACCCCGAGCACCTCTCAAACGGCGCTCGTGCCGTCGTCAGGTTGAAGTGTACTAGGCTGGCTTGTCCCGGATGCTTGCGCTGGGGTGCTCACCTTCAGTTCCGCAATTGATGAGGGTGTTGAACTCCTGAGCCTCTTTCTTTTGTACAACACGTATGTGTGCGTACGTTCGTCACGACTCTCAGATCGATCTTCAGTGCTCAGGGCGTTCTTGACGGCATTGCAGGCTCTTTCTTGCAGGATTGTGTTTTGTTGTGCCTATCGGGCCATCGAACCGCTGAAAACGGGTGTGCGGGTTCATTGTCAAGTTCGTCCTTGCACCAGAGCCTGACAGCATGAGAGCACATCGTCGAAGTGACCCTTGCCAGACTAAACCTCAATGCGCTTGGCGCCACCCGTACGCATGCACAGATGCTGGCGGACAAGTTGCAGGAAGCCAGCACCCACATATCCGAGCTGAGGACAGTTCTTCGACAGGTGAGATGGTGCCCGTCCGCCTCTGTACTTCAAATATGCGCCGCATTTTGTTCTCCTCCTCGGCTGCTAGTTTATCGGGACATGTGCCGTAGGTAATGCAGCACGTAATAATACAATGGTTGGGCTTAGCCATCACCAGAACTGTCTCCGGAAAGGTTCATGTATCCTTCTTTCGAAGCAATATGTATCTAGAACGTGAATGGCTCAACGCAAGGACACCCTTTTCACATCAAAGTGTTATGGTACATCACCATGCCAGTTGTGCTGCCGTGGACTCATAAACCGTACGGGCGTTTACTCTCCAGCGGATTCTACATGCCTGAGTGTTGCCGGTGTATCTCCTCTATCTCCTCTCCTTGCTATGCACACACCGGGACGTTGTCATTCATCTCAGGAGGTGAGAAGACGCGAGGCCGCGGAGGCAGAAGTGTCCGAAGCACAGGGGTATCTCAAGAGTTCCCGCCAGGAGCTGGGAGAGTTGAGACATCTAGCTTGGAAGCTGGAGCAGATGGGACGAAACAGGCACGAACCTTGATACCGCCATGATGCAGATCTCGAAAGATTCGGCAAGGAACCGAGGGGCTTTGGTAGAAGAAGTTGGTTCAGCGTTGCGATGTCGAGCACACGGTCCCACCGGATATCTTCCCTGGTACACTTGACACGGTACTTGCTGGCAACCGATTTGATCGGACGCCTCCGCAGCGAAAATCCCACGCAAGCCGATAACGCGGAACGTTCTGCGTACTGTTCTCACTCTCGGCCGCATCGTTTCGACCCCCGCAGCTTCGCGCACATGGACGGGAACAGCCAAGCGGTAAGACATCTGGAGGGAGAGCTTCACGCCCGAGGGGTGGCGGGGACAGTGGGAGGAGGAGAAGCGGGAAGAGGCCCCCTCCGCGAAGAGGAGCGTGAAGACGGCCGTTCTATGCTGTCTGGTGGGCGGGCCAGAGGCCGATCGGAAGGCGGCGGGAAGGAGGAGGCGGGACTCCTGTGCGCTCGACGGCGCAGAGTACCGCAGGGTTTGTCGAGCTGGAAGGGCGGACAGAGGTTGTTTCTCGCCGCACTTGCTGGTTTGCGGGCGGAGCTTCGATGTGTCAACACGCAGGTGAGGAAATCGCCGAGGATGGTGCCGTACAGCCACGAACGGAGGTGTGTTGCCCACTTGAGGCTTGGCTGACCGGAGCTCTGGCATTGCGTTCAACTGGCTCTTGTCATGTAGGTGCGGCTTGAGCTGTGGCGGAGAGACTACGTTTCGCAGCTATGAAGAACGTAACGAGGGCCATTTGTTTTTTTTTCCGGTGACCCAGCTTTGTCCCTTTCGCACTTCGAAAGCGTGTTTTTGAGTCGACGTCGCTTCACGCCAGCCTCTCACGTATTTGCTTAGTCTACATTTACGTGGTGCAAGGGCCCGCTAAAAAAGAAGACGAACTGAGGGTTGATGTTTCGGTGAAGGTCCCCGAATAAGGCGGTGGTGGGGCAGCTGACAAATTACCTCCATATTGGGGAAGCCGCCTTACTCGTCGTGAACCATGCTGACTCAGTAGTCTAATGGGGTAAGCCTCTACTAACAAGTGATACACGCACGGGTTCGGATCCCAGCTGGTCACTTTCACAAGCAACCTTAGTTCTTTTCCTGCAGCGCCTGGCGAGGGGTCTGTCCCCGGAGATCCCTACTTCCAGAAATCCCAGTGACCAGCCGGGTGGCCTCGAGCCAAGAGTATATCTTTTATTTGAAAGGCTTACTTACCCCATTAGACTACTTAGTCAGCGCTGACCGAGTAGTCTAATGGGGTAAGACTTTCTAACATTGGTAGAACAACTTGGTTATTCCTTCTGTGACAGCCAATTTCACCCCCCTGATATGGGGCGACCGCCTTATTCGGACCGCCTTGTTCGGGGACCCCCATCGCACCCTACACAGCTCGGTAAGGCCAAGGCTGAGAACGAAGTCTTCGTGCGCCACTGCACGGAACGGGTAGCTGTTCGCGTGGAGAGGCTGGAGCGGGCTGTGCGACAGGCTGGCCAAAAGCAGGTGAGAGCTCTGAGAGGCTTGGCACGTGTGTCCTTTGCAAGCTCGAGGGTGGTTGTTTTCTGTCTCTGTCCATGAAGGCAATCGAAGGATTCCTCTCTTCCCCATCTTTACCTCGCTGCGTGTGCCTGTGTGTGTCCAACCGCATCTAACCGCAGGCTGAAGCACAAAGACAAGCGTCAGAGGCGGAAGCTGCAGGAGCCATTGACAGAAAATCTGCGGACACGCTCAAGCGTGTCGTGAAGGTAAGGACGTGTACTTTGTCGGGTTGATGTCTTCGACTCGACCCTCACAGCCATTTTTCAGTGTCCCGCCCCGATCATCCACTTGGTCGTAATATAATATGTTCTGGTGTTGTGTCACGGTGGTTTATTGGACGCTGTGACCTCCTCCGTTTCGAACCAGCAACCAGCGAGCTAGGCTACTAACGAACATTTGCAAAGCCAACGTTTCGCGGAGAATACGTGTGCGTGCCTTCCAAATATGCTAAATGTATAAGCTTGTCAACTCCGTAGTGTCCACGCTGGCGCAAAGCAACGTCATGTCGGGTCAGTCGGTCCTATGTCTGTTCCCCCCATCTTCGGCACAACCGCACTCCTGCAACCACCCCAACAGAATACCACAGATTCTTTGATGATTTTCATCGTTGTCGTCCATGCCGTCTCGCCTCGTGCTTTGACGTGCGGCAGGGCATATCGTCCATCCTCCTCGATCGCCTGGCTGTTACGATGCCCACCTACCTACGCGGAGGGGAAGAAGCCGGGGAGAGAGGTCAAGGTAAATGTATGGCGCTGCGGTTGTACTACAGACGTCTATTCATCATGCATCCCTCCTGTTAAATGTTGCGGATGGCCACGGAGGACCCTGCTGACCACGCCTTCTTTTACTCGACTAGCAGAGATGTTGGAGCGAGGCTTGGAGGAGCTTACCGCTGCAGTCACAGACGCCTTGAGCAAGGTGAAGGAACGTGCCAAGCAGGCTGTTCCCGCCCAGGTAGGTGCAAATACCTGGAGTGTACCTTGTAGAAGAAGCAACCGCAGGAACCGAATGATAGCCGGCAGGGCTTTGGCCCACCTCGCTCGTCGGCCTGAGAGTGTCATTTATGTCATGTTGGAACAGTTTGCCGTGCAAAGACGGACAAGAGACGAATATCCACCCCTCATCATTAGTCTCTCCCCAAACTTGCGTGCAACATCACCGTCTTTCGTGCACCAGCCTCATGGGGACTCCTTGGCGCCGGGGAATGGCAGATATTGTATGTCGACGGTGGATGGTATGGTCTGGGGGGAAAGAAGTAAAGACGACTTCAACATGCTTGCCCAGCTGCAAAAGGTGAGGCTCGATAATCGTTTGTTCTTGCCACGAGCCAGCGACTCCTTTGGTTGTCCAAATGCGTTTGAGATAGTTCGACGTCGTTTGTAGTAACGGGAATGATCTCATTCGTGACGTCAGATTGGAACCCGTTTCGACGCATGTCGGCGAACAACGCGCTGCGAAGAATCATCCTATTTCCATCCACGTGTGTTCTGTCGGTGTAACGACATGTCGGGCTACACCGGGCAAGTGTTTTTGCTCTCGGAGACAAATTTCGCCTCAATTCATGCCGCCACGTTCCCCCAACCTGTGTCCAGATCGAGGCGGAAAGCAAGCTCCAATCGCTCCAGGCACGGCTTGATGATATGACGGAAAAGTACTCGAGGGCTATTGCGGATCAGGAGACAGTGGATAGTACGCCGCTACGAGAAGAACAGGTGAGATGTCGACCTGCACCAGGAGCATCCCTATGAGCAGTTCATGTACAGTAACACATTGGTACCCTAACAGAATTTTCCGTTCACTGGCTTGCATTGAGAAATATTCCTGACCTCAGCGCTTATGTATCTCGTCGAAACACCCGGCTCTTTGTTGACATAGGAACGCGCAAAGCAGGAGCTGGCACGGGCAGCACGTGCACACAGCGGCATCGTGTCGGCTTTGGAGGTGACGCTGGCAGCAGAAAAGAGCCACTGCCAGGACCTAAGGTTGAAACTGGAACGGCAGACACGCGAGCACCAAGTCGCCCTGGCGGATGTCGACCAGAGGCTTCTGCAAACTCAGCAGGAGCTTGACGAGGTAAGAGCAAGCATGGGAGGGGATCACGACGGGAGGCACCTGCCTTGTGCCTACTTGCCCGAGCTGTGTGTGAGGTGATGTTTCAGCTATGCTGAGGATAGACGACATGAACTACCAGTGGCACGACATGACATTATCGCGAGGTGCAAGTACCGCAGAACACGTCGCTACCGGGCCTCGCAACTGCAATTCTGACAGCAGTTAACACACGTTGTTTGTTTCCATTGGCTGGTCAACCAACCGCCTTCCTACCTCCTCAGGCCCAACAGGCCTTGGAGCAGGCACAATTCGCGCTAGATAGAGAATGCGCGCGGCGAGCTCGACTGGACAAAAAGTACAGCGAATTGGAGGACCGGGGCCTCGTTTCTCCGCGGTCGGTTTCCCCGCGGTCGGTTTCCCCGCGAGTGCGGCGCCCGGAGGCTACCACTCGAAAATTTTCCGGGGAATCGGAAAGAAGCCAATTGGCTCAGGCAACGCTGCCCAGGCCTTCCTCTGTAAGGTATGTTCGCACGGTGTGTGCTGTGCAGCAGAAATGTGCACGATTGCCTGTGCATACGGCTGAGAGGAAGCGAGAGGGAAACCGTTAAACGTGCCATTTGCCACCGACTAACCAATATTCATCCAACTCGGTGTGCTTACAGATTAGTGTTGGAGGAGGCTAGGGCAAAACTCGGCCAAGAAGCCAGCGATGACGCGGTAGGTGCGACCGGGGTCAGGGCCAGGCAGAAGGTTAAGGTCCCAGCGGGTCGGCAGCAAAGCGTGCTAGATACGCGTGGGTTGACGCCGGAGTTGGAGTCCTCACCCGGGGACCGAGATGGTGCAGACAAGAGTGCTTCGCCAAGCATCAGTGCTTTGTAGGGTAGAAACGTGGCGGGAGAATGTTGAATGTAGCTGAGTCGTGTATGTTGTAGCTACATGTGCACGGCATGAGTCATGTTGTACGGTTTGGGGTCTCACGCTGTACAGGTAGATGTCCCTTCACATGTACAAGATGCGTGTGTTCCTTGTGTTCGTGTATCGTGTACGATATTGCTCGATTGTTGTATCTGAGCTACATCGCCTTGAGTTCTTTTGTGGATGGCAGGACAAGTACGCCCTTGATTTTGATGTATGCGTGTAGCGTAGCATGTTTCCGTAGGATTTTGGTGAACACGTTAAAAGTTGTCTGGAAAAAACAACTGCGACTAAATAGGCATGTCGAAACACGAAAGTTCAAGATTGTTGCTGTGCTGTCTGCATGTTTTGCACGTTTCTCTTTGGACCTTTGCATTCTGTGTCACTCACCCGGGCCCGATTCAGCGACCCCCTGTATAGCGACCACAACATTGCGGGGCACCATCACTGCAACCCGAATATTTAGCCGCTGCATTAAATAGTGGTCTACATCGGAGATAGCGACCGGCCCTTAATGGCGAGCATCATCCCTCCTGACACTAGGGATCGCTACAACGGGCCCACCGCAGTACACAAAACAATGAGCGAATACCGTCAACATGGCGAATGAACACCTTTGGTGGTCAGTAAATTGAACGATGGTGAATGAATGAGTGCAGGTCAGGCGGGGCCCCACAACACACTTGTCTCTTGTGCGGCCAAAGCAGTTTAGGCGAGGCGGCTGAGAAGGAAGATCGTGGCGAGGCACGGCGAAACGACTTGAGTAGCCGACCGCAACACGAAACGCGCACCCCAGCAAGGTGTGGATTCTATCTCAGGTATGCATAGACTATGGACTATACAAACTTATCTACATCTAGCGCCGGCCGACAACTTATAACCCCGCCGAACACGAACACATTTGTCTAGCTTCACACACACGCGTCTGTCTGTGGATCCCACAATGTGTCTGTAATGTTTCCGGCCAGTCGTGTGATCCTTGGGGAATGTTTTTTACACATACATCGCTAGCAAGACTTTTCATGGGCACCTTTCATGCACAGATTATTTCTGTCGACTACATGCCGTTGTGGCCACACCAGAGACTACGCAGACCGTGGATATAAATTCTGGACGTAGCAGTACCGCCCTACTCTGAACAAATGATACTCACAGGCTAAAACTCTTGACCAAAGTCCAGCAAGGTTTTGAGTTTGAGCCTTGCTCCAACAGGTATTCCTACGAGTGGGCCGCCACTCATGTGCAGCAAGTCTGGACTGTAAAGCTGTGGACGCGACCGGTCTGGACAGATGATTTTCATGACGGGTGTCACGTACAATACTTCGAGCAATCAACTTCTTCTGGGTGTGAATGTGAAAGAACCTTGCATATGTATCGTCCTCTACATCCACGCACAATTGCCACGACCAACACCGCAGTACCACTCACGAAGCACTTTGCACTTCAAGCAATCCGGGATCCCAGCAGGATCATGAGATGCTGCTGTAGCCAGGATCTCCGGAGAGCGGAATTTAAATTTGGGGGATCTTGAACGAAGGGGAGGACGCGCTAAACGCTTCTCCCATCTCACGGCGCCCCCCAGCTTTCCCCCGCGTTTGTTGTGTGCTTCTCTGTGCTGCCATATAGCAGCTCACCTGTGATCCCGAACGGCCGTAGCTGGGAGAAGCAGCCGTCAGGATCGTCGCAGCACCATGCACGTGCTCTCGCTCACTCTGCAGAGAGGAGGGGGCATCAACGCCTCTGCCTATGGTGCGTATGTAAAACTGTTTAATGGTTTGTTGGTGTGATGGTGTTGCGCGTGGGGAGAGCGGGGCTCCAATGGCCCATCGTCGTGTTCTCTTGTTCTCTCTCACACCGACAACTCCCTGGACCGTGGGAGAAGGGGTTGAGGCTGAGGACCGGCAGTTGCCATTGGTGCGTGTTGCTTGAGCTCTGCTCGTGCCTTTTTCTCGGTGTACGCCGGATATGCGACCTAGTGATATCTACACTCTGCTGCTTTCACGGCGCTTTGCCCACCACGGAGCACCCCAGCTGCCCCCCCTCGGCGGCTGCTACGAAGTCCATGTCTGGTTCAGTAGTCCGCAGCAAGCACCGCTTCCTTGCCTTGGTCCATGGTGTTTGGTTTTGTTGCGCACAGCATCTCAAATGTTGGTATGTTGACAGCTTGTGGAAGGATGCCAAAAAGGTAAAGATCTGGGTCCACCGTGCTGCCTCCTGACTCTTGACCCCAGTCCTTCCCTCCGCCTGCTGTGCTCCTCTCTTATGCTCTCCTCAGGCAACTTCAGCGGCACCAAGAAGACTGAGGAGATCATGGTAGCTCGGGGATCCATGTTGGAACTGCTAAGGATCGATCCGGACACAGACAAGCTTGTGAGTACACTTGTGAACTGAGGCAGAGTTGTCTCTATTCTGCTTGACTCACCGATGATACAACAGCAGGTTGGATCGTGGCGATAGATGGCAAAGTCTCCGTGGCACTCTGTCTATCATTTGCGTTTGTGATCAGTGTCGCGTTTATCGACAGCTCTCATTTAGAGATGTGCGTAGGTGCCGATTCATGCCGGGCGGCAACGATTTCTTTGAAGCGCATACTTGCCGTTATCGCGTTATCACACACACTTCGTGCTGAACTTGAGGGCATGGCGTGATCTGCAGACGTTTTCAAAGCGCTTTCAACACCAGCGACGCACACCGCTGCGGTGGTTTGGATAACCCGCTGGGAAACGTTTGGTGTCACAAGCTGGCGCCTCTGGCGCCTCTGGCGCCTCCTTGAAGTATTGTGTTTGTTTAGCGAGGACCGGTAGATTTTATCGCATGTCCCAAGCATCAATTTGGGGTACACACCCACACCACAGCACATTCATTTGGTTCTGCTGTGGTCTGATCGGAAACCCGGGCCGCGTGTTTCGCCACATTTCCAGGTGTCCATCTTGCAGCAGCCTGCGTTTTGCGTCGTGCGCAGCTTGATCGCGTTTCGATTGACCTCCACTCACAAAGACTACTGCGTCGTCGGCACGGACGCGGGTAAGGTCACCATCCTCGAGTACCTGCCGGAAACCAGCGAGGTTAGTACGAGCATCGCCGCTCTACAGCACCGTATTCCACACAAGATAACACCCCTTTGATCGTTTTGTGACCTTCACAAGTATTCCCACCAGAAATGTTATTCTGTATGGGGGGTGGTACCTTCGGCGACACTACTAGTCGATCTGAGAGTGAAGTTGCGTGTTGAGCCGTAACATTATTATCACTGGGGGTGGTATTCTGTGCGGGGGGCAGGTATATAGTGTGGGAGTGCTATCTTGTGTGGAATACGGTACACACCAGACTTGGTGCGAGCCGTATAGTGCGTAAAATAGGGGTGCAGTGTTTGTGTTGCACGCCGTCACGCGACATCACCCGGGGGAGCTTTTTCCGCTGAGATACTAAAGCTACCAACAAGGCAGTACTTGTGGCGGCATGGTTCATTCGCCCTTCGTTGGAGGCGACCCCGAACACATTGCCATATACGACCAAAGCGTGGACAACGCAAGCTAAGCCGCAGATTGTCTATCCACCAGCACAGGCGGCATTGCTCCTCTGTCGGAGTTGCACCCTCGAGTACCTTTCAGGTTGAAACTGACGACCGAACCATATGTTGCGTCATCCTTGCTCCTTCCTTGCAACGGCAGTTGAAGGCGGTTCACATCGAGACTTTCGGCAAGACCGGGTGCCGTAGGATTGTCCCTGGGCAGTACTTGGCCGCCGACCCGCAAGGACGCGCTATCATGATTAGCGCGGTCGAGAAGCAAAAACTGGTGGGTGGCTCGCTGACGGTGTTGCGAAACAATGCGACTCACAAAGTAGCAGGGCCGCTGAGGTAGGCTCGACCAACATGAATATCATGCTGCGGTTTAGTGACCGGAGGTTCTCATCGTGAAGCCAGAAGCACTGGCATCGGATCTCCCATTATCATCGGTAGTCCTACGGTACAATACCGGTGCTAGCGGCGGGTAGATGATTCGCTGTCATCCATCCTCCCTTGGTTGTGTTTGTCTTGACCAGGTGTACGTGTTGAACAGAGACACCGCTTCCAGGCTGGCCATCTCGTCCCCGCTGGAGGCACACAAAAGCCACGCTATCATCTTCCACACTTGTGGAGTGGACGTGGGCTTCGACAACCCAATCTTCGCTGTGAGTACCTTGTGCCTTGTGGCTGTTTTTGTTTGCTTGGAGATTTTGGAGTAGTGTATGCATACCCCCAGACTATGGCGGGAGGGCTCGGTGGGGGGGAGGTGTGCTTTGCTTCTTGCAAGCCTCACGTGATCAGATCTGTCGCGCCGTTCGCACGGTTGTGTTGGCGCACAGGTGATCGAGCTGGACTATTCCGAAGCCGACCAAGACTCGACAGGAGAAGAGGCGGCCAACACGGAGAAGCAGCTGGTGTACTACCAGCTTGACCTCGGACTCAACCACGTGACGAGGTTGTGGAGCGACCCCATCAGCCGGTGAGGCCACCACCCCTTGATGTACACAAAGCCTAAGCCTGCCGCACAAGCATTCCGAAGCGTACGTCTCGATGGTTTCGGACGATGGTTTCGGGGACATGCCGGCCCTCTCATGAAACGCAAGCACCGATATTGTTGTTTGCTGTTGTTGTTGTTGTTGTGGTTTTGACGTTATTAATAGGAACCGTTTCGGTCTCTTCCCAGTGTACCTTCTAGCATCCGTACGGGCCCAACTGGCGCGGACGCCCTCCGTGGTCGCAGGCCACCTACCCCAGAAGGGGAACACGCTCAAGACAGATTCACAAAGCGGACACGGGCGTGCCGTCGCTTGATGCACTCAATCACTCCTCCAGCGAGCTCGTTTTGGATCCCCGTCGTATCATCCGACCTTTGCACCCGGCTACAGGGGTGCGAGCCTGCTGCTGCCTGTCCCGGGAGGGGAGGCGGGTCCGTCGGGCGTTCTTGTTTGCGGAGAGAACTGGGTGGCGTACAAGCACCAGGACCACCCGGAGGTGAGGGCGCCACTCCCCCGCAGGAAAACGATGCCGACCGGGAGGGGATTGCTGGTGACGTCGGGCACCCTGCACCAGCAGCCTGGCCTCTTCTTCCACCTGATCCAGTCCGAGCTGGGTGACCTCTACAAGGCGAGAGAGGGCTTTGGCTTGTTTGACTGGGGGTATGGGGCAGCGGTGGGGATGTAGTAGCGTACATCCGGTGGTGGATGGTGAAACTTGGCAACCGTGAACGCTATTCTCACGCAACAAGTCAAGATTCCCCCCTTCCACTGGTAAACACTACACGAGGCCTACTGGAAACAACGTCATGTGGAGGTGTGGATATGACCAAGTCAACAACACGACTCTGTACCAGATGTTCCCAACCTTTCCGCGTTATGTTTCGGGGTGGGCGCAACGGGTACGGGAAGACTATGTGATGGCAATGGTAGAGAGAAGTTGGTGGTAGGTGTGAAGGCGAGGATTGTTCCCTCGCGGGATGGAGGATGCTTCAAGCCGCTCCCCTTGGACCAGAATTGTAACAGCTTGTTCGCATTTTTTCCTGGCCCTCGGTCACCCTCTCGATCGTTGGCCTCGTGTTGGCCGTTTCGCTTTTTTTGTGTGTGTGTGACTGGTGCTGTCAGGTATCGCTTGTCGTCAACGACGAGCAGACGGAGGTGACGGACATATCCATTGAGGTGAGCGAGCAGGGCCGCCTGGTGGTTAACGCACCTCTCATATTCTCGGGAGTGGTTGTGGGCACAGGAGAACGGCTTGTTGGCTGGCCTCCTGACAAAAACGTTGTCCGCCTTAGATGGGTTCGATGTTGTCTTCCACTTTGCGTGACATGGCGCTCGTTACAGTCGGGACTTGTTGCGCGAGAGTCCCGCGGCGCCACTACAGGTAGCAGAGCATATTTGCGTCGACCATGGCGACGGGAGCCTGGATGGATAGAAACAAAGGAAACGGCAAATGCCCCCAAACAACGGCAGCCTCATCTGAGCATCGACCATTCCGGGGCCTTGGCACGCCTGGCATGTTTTTGGGTTCCGCGTAGGCCCGACGAAGACGGGCTCGGTTGGTTTTGTCTTCATCCATGTTGCAGGGCGTTTGTTGTAGGCGGGCAGGCAGGCTCCTTGGGTTCTCAACAGCCGGAATGCTCGTCTGAACCGTTACCCGTGTTCCCAACGTGTTGCTTCCGTACACAGGTGTTCGACACCATTCCGGTGGCCAACAGCCTCCAGATCACCAAGAAGGGGAAGCTTTTCTGCGCCAGCGAGTTCAGCAACCACATGATGTTCCACTTCCACAAGGTACATGTTTCATCCACAAGGTACCCGCTTCGTGATGAAGGTAGTGTGTGTGCGACCGTGCATCGCCTCCTTCGCTAAATGGCATCAAATTGCGTCAGCACACTACCGTTGTACGAATTGGGTATCTTCGTGCCAATCGTCTCGTGTGTTCAATCCTTGTTTGGCCTTCTTTCTTTGATTCTCTGCGTGGCGCTGCTAACCCTTCTTTCTCGAGCAGATGGGCGGAGAAGAGGGAGCGGTGGTGGCGACGCAATGCGCGGACCCGGAATTGGACGACAGCAGTGAATCCGCTGCGCAGGTAAGAAATCTTGGTGCCCGGCAAACGAAAGAGCCATACTAAGTTTTTTATTTCCTGCAGTGAGTGCTGCTCGCGCTGGTTTTGGGAAAGTATGGCGTTTTGCTGATTTCAACACATAGCGCGATTATTGGACCCGAGCGGTAGGGGTAACCAATGGGTCCTGACCGGCCTGATATTTGAGCGCTGTGATACGTTTCCCCGTACCCGACCGACCGGATTCAACCACACCAAGAGGTGGGCACGATTTTTATTCGCCATCTCGAGAGTCGCGTGGACTTTTGGTTGACGCCCTACCCCACGCGGTCGTTTCTACCTGTTGATCGCGCTTGCTCTCGCTTCCTCCAGGTGGCGCCGACTTTCACGCCATCGGCGACCTTGAAGAATCTGTGGGGGCTGGATGAGGTGGAGAGCTTGGCGCCGCTGACGGACATGCTGGTTGGTGACCTCGCTCGCGAAGACACCCCCCAGATGTATACCTTGTGTGGCCGAGGGAACCGATCAACACTAAGGTAGGTGAAGCGTTGCTAGTATGCGAGAATGCCAGCTGACGAAGAGAGATCTTTGCTTGTTGTATGGATAAAGATATGAGCTTGTTCGGGTCCTGCGAGAAAGCATTTATTGCGAATTTGCGGGGGCTTGTTCTACTGCTGTAGTTTGATGGCTATTCGGAGATCCCACGTCGGCACCAACGCCCCATGAGCGCAGCGATTGGTTCTCAAGATGGAAACACCCAACGCCAAAACCCCAGGATCCTGCGACACGGGCTGGCTGTGACTGAGCTTGCGGAGAACGATCTGCCCGGAGTGCCTAGCGCGGTATTCGCCTTCAAAGAAGTGAGTTAACCAACCACAACGACCGTCGTCTGCCCTATCGTTTTGAGGACAAGCCCGGTTGTGTTTTCGTCGTTCTTTCATCAATCTTCCGTAGATCGCAAGGAAGTAAGTGCACCAACTACTGCTGCCGCACCCTCATACTTACCTCACAAGAATTGTGGCCCACTTCGAATATTGTATGAGGATGAAGCACTGTTCTGCTTCCGTGGGTATTGCATGGATCTTTCATAGATGAGTACAAACCAGACCAGGTTCATTCTACGTGCTGTGGGATGGTTTTAAGAAGAAATGTCTCAGCCTACTGGGTTCCCTCCAATTCTCTCTCTTCGCTTGCTCTCGTGATGACGCCACACGCCCGTCGCCTCTTCGTCATTTTGCGCAGCGCCTGACGGATGACTACGACCGTTACATCGTGCTGAGCTTCACCAACGCGACCATGGTGCTCGAGGTGAGAGTGGTCGGAGTAGGGACAAGATACGGCCACACGTTCCTTAAACAACGCGGGCCTGGAACGATAGTTATTCGACCGTCCCGAGTACATGCAGGGTAAAAGTCCATCCATCGCTCACGCAGCGCGAGAGGCATGCACGATGCAGGAATGGAGGTGACGCTAACACTAGTAGCGTGGATCGCCATGTCGCACACGACAGACAATCGCTCGCCATCTTGCCATTTTGCGTGCGTGTGCAGGTGCAAGACAGCGTCGAGGAAGTGGAAAACTCCGGGTTTTTGGCCACCTCGAGCACCCTGGACGTGAAGCTCATGGCGAACAACAAGATCCTACAGGTGCGGACCACGACACGGCTGCTGTCGATGATACCAGGGTGTGCCCGGCCCGCCGTTTCCTTCCTAACCGTAAACCTGACGGGGCTATCTACATGTAGACGCCGACTCAAGTTCCTGGTGTGACTACAGTCCAATCTCTCTCTCGAACTTGTCGGGTGAAATTGTGACGAGAGCCGTGGGCTACTTTGATCCGACCCACACAATTCGACGTGGTCGTGGCCAGGTTTACTCGCATGGGTTGCGCGTGATCATGAAGGGGCAGCCGCCGCAGGAGTGGCGCGCCCCCGGCAAGAAGCAGATCGAGAAGGCATGCGCGAACGAGCGGCAGGTGGTGCTGGCCTTGGCCGGCGGAGAGATCATCTTCTTCGAGCTGGATGAGGCCATGCAAAACATTCAGGTTACTTAACACCTACCATAGTAGACTTTGTGCCAAATAGGAGCAGAGACCCCAAGCACGTTGTATTTCGCGCCTTCACTTCAGTGCTGTCCGCAGGGATTCATAACTTAACGGAGGGCCAGTCAAGCTTTGCCGGACATGCGTGGGAGGGCAAACCTTGACCTTGGACGGAGACGTGTTGTCGGTTGACACATGTTCACCGTGCTTTTTGTGCTTGGGGTTCGTTTCTGATGAAGTGCCTTAACGAGGCAGGGTCGCTACCAGGTAGCTTTGAGCGCGATGATTCCCGGTACTCGCTGCTACGGTTTTGCTGCAAACAATTGAACATGTACTGTCTGTGATCTTGCGCCGCAGTTTTGTTCCCCCTAAGCTAACCGCCCCTATCTGTCCCACAGGAAGTTGGCACGAAACAACTGGGAGGGGTCGAAATTGCTTGCCTGGAAATGGGGGAGGTTCCTAAAGACCGTGTCAGGGCACCATTCCTTGCCGTGGGCGACTGGAACGGGAACGTGAAGATTCTCGGGCTGAGCCCTGAAAACCTCCTGGAGCAGGTGTGTGGTCGTAGGCACCGGTTGCATCATCTTCCCCTTATCGCCCGTCTGAGGAGTTCCCGCCGTAACCACGCCGCCACAATGCATACAAGGACGAAGGAGAGTATCACCTACCACTCCCGCGGCAGCAATGATGTTAGCCGGAGGAACTCGTCCAGCTATCCAGACCGGTGTGTCGGTTTGGGCACACGTGAGACGTGAGGTGGCGTAGCCACCACGCTAGTCGATGCCACCAGGCTGCTGTCTAACCCCCCCCACCCCCCATCGTATCTTGGTGTCTTGACACGGTTAGGTTGCGATTATCAACTTGCCACACCCGGCGGAGTCGCTGTGTCTCGCGCACATGGCTGCAGAGCAGGCGGCTGGCGGAAGCAATGAACAGCTCTTCTTGTATATCGGCCTTGCTAGTGGAGTCTGCCAGCGGGTAAGAATTTCTTTGGGACCCTCTCGTGTGTTCATGTGTTGTTCGCAACGAATGCTGTACTCAAAAGGATTCCGTCAAACTAGATTTACATGCCGTGAAAAAAATGCTTTCGGTTAAGATGGCACGTTCGAAATCGGTTGTCATTCTTGGGGCAGGTGGCAGTGGATGCTACGGCTGGAACTCTCTCCGACCCTCGCCAGCGATTCCTGGGAAGCAAGCCTGTCAAGCTCTTCCGGATTCAAGTCCAGGACAAGCGAGGGGTGAGTGAGCTGCATGCCCAATAGAGTTACGCGTATCATAGAACTGCCGCGAAAGGGGTCGCGCCAAAGGCACGTGTCGTGTTCGGTGCCAGTAGTCACCGTTCCTAGTACCGGCTCTCCTGCTAGTGGTTGGGGCCAGGCCTTCTGTTACGAACGCAGGCTTGGCAAACTTTGTGGAACAAAGGTATACAAAGGTGTCCATCCAAAGGTGCACCAGTGGTGTCGTAGAACGCCCGACGTCCCCGAGAGACCCAGGCACATCAGTAGGCGTCCCGCCTTGACTGGTCGGTGCGTTTCGGCCGTCTCGTCTCCCCTTTCGTTCCTGCCAAATTATCGTAAGGTCTTGGCGCTGTCGTCGAGATCGTGGCTCTCTTACAACTACCAAGGGCGGTATCAGATGACGCCTCTGAGCTATGATCCGCTCGATTTCGCCGCCGAGTTTTCTACGGAGATGTGTCCGGAAGGAGTCGTGGCCGTCTCGGGGGAGAAGCTGCGGATCTTCGGGGTGGAACGGTTGGGCGAGGTCTTCAACCAGGCGGCACTTCCCCTAAAGTGCGTCAGTTTGTTTATCGTTTTTTTTCTTGAGGGGCGTGCTGTGTATGAGCTTTCTGTGCACGCGGGGGTGTCAGGAGGAGAACATTGTTGTTCTTTTTCAAGAATATGCATGCAAACAAAGAGAAACTACCCGTTTGAGATAGTCCAATACCACAGTCTAAGGGGATATGTTGATGGGTTGAACTCTCTGCAGTGCGTGGGAGAAATATGTTGCAAGTCTCTGCAGTGAGTGGAAAAAAAGTGTTGAAGTCTCTGCAGTGCGTGGGAGAAAGATGTTGGAAGTCTTTTCAGTGAGTGGGAGAAAAATGTTGGAAGTCTTTGCAGTGAGTGGGAGAAAAGTGTTGAAGTCTGCAGTGAGTGGGAGAAAAATGTTGAAAGTCTTTGCAGTGAGTGGGAGAAACATGTTGGAAGTCTTTGCAGTGCGTGGGACAAAAATGTTGAAGTCTTTGCAGGGAGTGGGAGAAAACCGGCTGGATTTTGTTTTCGAAACGCAACTATTTCGTGTACACCTGTCTGAATGTTCTGTTCTGTGAAGGTCAACGTCCGCAAGGGACCAAGGACGGTTGTTTGTTGCCGTACCGTACCTGTCTTGTGGTACAATAGTAGCAGTACAAAAGTACTTTCAATAGTACGAGTCCGTGCGGCGCGATTCGAAAAAGCTTGTCCGCGAGCGAATGTCCGCGAGCCAACCGACAAACCCTCTCTCCTCGGCGCTAAATCCATCACCTCACCTCACCTCCCGCAGGTACACTCCGAGGCAGATCGCGCTTCTTCCGGGCGATGCTCAGCACTTGGTCGTCGTGGAGGCCGACCACAACGAGTACAACGAGACGCAGGGACAGGTGCGTATGTACCACCAACAGCCATCAGAGAGATAGATGGATCGTGTGTGTGTGTGTGTGTGTGTGTGTGAGAGAGAGAGAGAGAGGGAGAGAGAGAGAGATGGAGAGAGAGAGCGAGATTTGGAGGATGAGGGTGCAAAAAGCTGATTGGTAACGCCTCACGGTCTTGACCGCCATGTCTGCTGTTCGGTGTTGCCGACAGGCTGTCAAGAAAGAGGCGGAGGAGGGGGAGAAGGAGGATCCCGCCGGTGGTGTTGCAGGCGACCCCGCCGAGAACGGGAAGCAAGAGGAGCCGTCTAAGGGAGACGCTGCCGCCGCCGGGGGTGCGGCCGCTGGTGCAGAGGCGATGGATCAAGACGAAGAGGAGGAGGAGGACGATGACGAGGCCGCAGCCGCAATGATGCCCATCCGGGGCCCACTCCCGCCGCAGGATGGGTCCTGGGCGAGCTGCATCCGTCTGCTGGACCCTGTCGAGGGGACCACAGTCGAGTGCCTCGAACTCGGTGAGAGAGCGAGTCGGGTGTTTTTGGGGTTGGTGTCGTGGGCGTGCTCTTGATGCTTGTGTGTCACCGTGCGCTTTCTTGGACTGTATTGCTTCCCGCCTTGGCTCTGCTTGACAACCTCATCGTCCACGTGGTTGTTTTTTCCGTTCACGTGGCCTGCAATGTTTCTCACCGATGTGCCTCGACGTTTGTGTAAAGCCTAGCATGGAAAGCGTACTTCTTCTTGTTGCCGTCGTGACATTTCTCATTTTTTGGCGGTGGACAGGAAGTGAGCACTTGCTGCCATTTGCCGCTAACGCCAACCGCTGCCTTTGCCGTTTTCCTTTGCTGGCAGACGACAACGAGGCTGCTCTCTCGGTCGCACCCGTGGCGTTCCACAACCGCAACGGGGAAGCGTTCGTCGCCGTGGGTACCGCTAAGAGCCTCACGTTCCACCCGAGGGGACACGAGGGCTGCTTCGTGCACATGTACAGGTACGACTTTAGTTACTATTTACCTTGGAACTCCGGCCGGGGAGGAGTAACAACTTGCAGACACCGACATGTTAATCTGCTGCCCTGCCACTGCCACTGCCACTGCCGTCGTGAATCAACGGTACCCCTCTGAAGCCAGCTCTCTGTGGGCATGGCATGCGGACGACTGGCGATTGGCCAGTTCCAGAGCGCATGAGTGTGATGAGACTTCATATCCCTTGAAACTTGACAAGTTTCAAGGTTGGGACGACAGTTAGGGTTACCGTAGTAGACGGACTCTCAGGTTTGTTTTTGTCATCTTCACAACCTCTTCAACCGCCCCTTCGTCCGTCTGTTCGTTGACAGGATCTTGGAAAATCGCCTCGTTCTGCTTCACAAGACGGAGGTGCCAGACGTGCCTCTCGCGATGAAGGAGTTCCAAGGCAGGCTCCTCGTCGGCGTGGGACAAAGTCTCAGGGTAAGTGGATTGGCACGTGAGGCAACGGTTAGTTGCATGGGAACGGAGTACAGTACCCCCCAAAAACATCATTTACATCCGTTGTCAACATGTTGTGACGTGGGGGATACTGGCTAGGTGTGCCGCTACGTTACGTGTTACGGCCGGTTGGAGAGAATCGTTGTACTAGGTCCGCGGAGTGCCAAAGCTATTTCCCTGGTCAGACACGATTAGAATTGAAAACTCGCTACTGGTGTTGGAAGGGTTTTCGAACAGTTTTCTGCGGCGGATATAAATTTGCCGTCCCTTCTGCAATGTCCTCGACGCCCGGTCCCGTGTCTCGGGGCCAACAGATGTACGACTTGGGGAGGAAGAAGCTTCTTCGAAAGTGCGAGAACAAGCGAATGCCCACAATGGTGGTGAGCCTGACCGTCACGGGCGACCGGGTATTTGCTGGGGATCAGATGGAGAGCTGTCACTGCTTCAAGTACCGGAGGGCGGAAAATCGGCTGGTGGAGTTCGCCGATGACCAGGTGACGGTTCAGTCGTGAATGGCGTTACACGGGTCCCCCTCGTGTCGGGTAGATTTCGCGTCTTGATTGACATCGATCGCTGTAGAGAACATTCGTCAAGTTTTGACGGTGGAAACGAGCGTGCGCGCGCACAACTTTTTTGCGTTATCGTTGCGTGGTCTGGATAAATTCGTTGGTAGGACGTTTGACTTGTTCCGATGGTTGAAGGCCGGCAGTGAGGTGCTCGTGGTGTTTTTTTTTTGTTTCGTGCTGCGTGCTGCTCCGAACGACCTCCAATCGCGTTTCACGCACGCGCGGGACTCATTCCTGCACTCCCCAGGTACCTCGGTTCATGACCAAGATGTGCCTCTTGGACTACGACAGCATCGCGGGAGCTGACAAGTTTGGCAACATCTTCGTCCTTCGAGTACCCCTCGATGTCAGCGACGATGTCGACAACCCGACAGGTCTGAACAGATGACAGATGTACGATTTGCAGGGTCGTTGACGGCATACTGTACCCTTCTACGGTATTGTGGGCATGCAGTGTCCAACGATTACCATTCGTTGTGGTGGGAGTGTTTTTGGGTGTTGGCGTCGGGGTTCTTGCCTGAAGAGGGCGTGGTTGGGTCCTATTTGTCACACGACGCATCATCACCAGCATCGATGTTTGTCGTGCTTTTGGACGTCTTTCCCTTGCACCAGCGAACCTTTTTTCACGCTAACTTCTCAGGCGCACGCAGGAGGTTGGTCGGTAGAATACCGCGCATGCCCAGTGACGGCCTGGTACCCGTGGCACGTGTGCTCGACGCCTAAAGTCGCTGCGACTGGGTCTGTTTCGCGGGGAGACATTCCGTGATACCTTGAACCATGTCCTTTTGCGTCGCCTCCGGGAGGCAAGTCACCAACCTCCCGAAGGGGAGCCTTGTATATATATCCACCACGCCCGAAACTGTCTTGGATCTAAATTCACACGCCAGCTGTGCAACGTCTTGTCAATATTGTACATTGCCCGGGTTCTGATGTTCTGATGGAGTCCTCTTCATCTGTTCATCCTGTTCATCTTTTGTTTGTGTGCCCACGTGTGAACCCGGCTACCTCCCGCTTCGGAACTGACCATGGGGATTGCAGGAAACCGGCTTCTGTGGGACTCCGGCCACCTGAGTGGGGCACCGAACAAGGTTCAACAGCAGCTCCAGGTGAGTTGGCAACGACATATTTTGCTTCTGGAAGAGTGATCGTGTGCGGGCACCTTTGGGCTTGACTTCCTCCCCCCCACAGCTAGAATAGCTTCCCTTCCCTTCCGTACCTGAGGCGAGCTCTGTCGAGGATAGGGACGAGAAATGGCCACCACAAGGTTACCACAAGGAAGCGAAACGCCTCCTTGTAGTACTGTGTAGTCGAAGTACGATTTAGTGCGGGGCAGTTTCGCCACAAGGAGTAGCGGCCCAACCGCAAAGGGAATCCGTTCGCAGACTGAGACAACACTTGTATCCCAACAAGTGTTGGTGGCACCCCTGCCGTCCGCGTCTTTCTTCCGCGCCTTCCCTGCCCGACAGTTCCACGTTGGGGAGGTGGTGAGCTCTCTACGACGGACAACCCTAGTCCCGGGTGGAGCAGAAGTCCTGCTTTACTCCACCATCAACGGCTCCATCGGCGCTCTGCTGCCCTTCAAAAGCCGGTGGGTCGGTGGGGAGTACAAGTCCTGCTGTATCGCACATGGTTCCACAATTAGTTGTGTTCTCTTTGTCTGGGGGTGTCTTCGCTTGTCTGCAAAAGGATGGCCCGACGTCTGCAGGGCGTTTTTGTTCATGCACGTAGGGGGATATTGCGTCCCCAATACCTGGTACTGAAAAAAATAAACAGTTCACACCCACCCGTAAGAAGTGAAATATCCACCCTCCGGTTGCAGGAATTCAAGCCGAAAAAAAGCACTTGAAATCAATTAAGCATCACTTTTCTGTTCGTTCTTCCCCATTGGACAACTTGAAAGTCAACTCGCCAACTCGAAACGCACTCTTCTCCGTCATGCGACCGCCAAGCTCGGGTGTGGTGTAGTGATGCCCTAGGCTACTCGATATAGCCGCATCTGGGTTACATTTAAACACCTTCTGTTGACAACACAGGCACGAGGACAATGTGGACATTACGTTTTGAAGTGTCAGCTTGAAGGTGACGGACATTCATGCGTCTCAAGTTTTTAAGCATGTAGGTGAAAGACCCCCTTTCGTCCGACACACTCGACGGACCAAGCCTAACCTTGAACGAAATCATCATCACCTGTGCGGGTGCTCTTTTCTCTCTCTTGGGGCATGCAGGGACGACGTCGACTTCTTCACGCACATGGAGATGTACATGCGTCAAGAGAAGCCCACGCTGTGCGGCAGGGATCATATCTCCTACCGCTCCTACTATTTGCCCGCCAAGGTGAACGAGGTCCTGTCACCGTGCCCATTGGGGGGTATTGTGGCAGGCAGGGAATGTCTTGAGAGCTGCTTGAGACACTGATCTTCCACAACTCTGTTGTGCATCCTTGCTTGCTTCCGTCTTTGAGACCCTGATAAGCATCCTTTCTTTCTACCGCTTCACCGTACCTTCGCCGTCGTCATCGCTCTTGTTGGTGCAGGACGTGATTGACGGTGACCTTTGCGAGCAGTTCTCGTCGCTGCCCTTCGAGAAGCAGAAGCTGGTGGCGAACGGGTTGGACAGAACCGTAGGCGAGGTGGTGAAGAAGCTGGAAGACACGAGGAATAGGCTGCTCTAGTCTAGTGGAGCGAGCCATGAGAAGAAAAGGCCGATGGCGGTAGAATGGGGAGGGGCTCCATCGCGAAGGAAAGCGTGCAACTGTAGACTGGACACGTCCACCCCCACGTTAACACGCTGCTTGTACTGTAGCATTTCGTGCTCTCAGATATATACTAAGTATTATTCAGGCTTGTGTTGCGTGATTTGCTCTCAAGTGGCAAAGCCGCGACGCCCCCCCCCCCGCGCGTCATGCACAGATGCCGATCAAGCACAACGGGAGTTCATAAAGGTAATCTACACTAGTTTCACCAACGTGTGTTGCTTTGACCATTTCGTCCGTGTAGGGAAGGCGACGGTGTTTCAAGTTCCGTATCAACCACTCACGTGTCTCGTTTACCCGTTTGTACCCGTTGTGTATTTTTTCCTGCGGGAGGAACGGGGGCATGTAGGCGCGTGGCCGTAGGATTTCTTTGGTCTAGCCGTGCACTTTCGTACCGAGCTCAAGAGCCAACTATTAATAATAGTGTTTCGTCCACAGTATTCACGGCCGCTCGTCCAACCAACACCAGACAGAGAGAGGAAGCACACTCCACCCCACCATATTTTTTGTCGCCGTCCCTGTGATCTGTCGGAACAAAAATGCGGTTTGCGCTTCGGAAACAATCATCGTGGTCCCGGCTTCATCGACGGGAAGAGGTGGGCCCTACGGTGCTTATCTTCTGGTAGTCTGGCACTTGCAATACGCTTTGCGTGTTACTACAAACGGACGGATATTTACCTGTCATTCGTTGTTTCGGGTGTTTGCGGACTGGTGTTTTGATTTGATCTTGGAACAGGGAAGTCCGAATGAAAACAGACGTGAGATGAATATTTGATTTCAAAATCAGCTTGCGAAGACCCGAGTATGATGTTTTCAACAAGTCATGAGATGTGAAGTCACCAAATGGTAGCCGTTTCCCCCCCTTTTTTTTTCTACTCGGCATACATGCACGGAGGAACTGACGCTTTTACTTTGTCCGTTCAGAGCTTTGCCTAACATATTACGCTGTCAAACAAACTTCGTTCCACTGAGTGCGATGAGCCATCGAACAGAGATGATCCGTATTATTACAGTAATTTTATGGCGCGCTCTCGCTAGAGGCAAATCACCACCAACGATTGCTGTAAACACCGCGCGTGTTCGCTCCTTGCGACATTTGCTGGCGGGCGCACGACAGGTCACTCTTCTGTTTTTACTGTTACTCTAGACTAGACCACGCAGTTTTGTAAACGCCATCGCCACGCAACCTTTCGGATGCGCCGTTCTTCCTCTGAGCTACAGTATTTGCAACGTCTGTTGGTTGTCGGGGGTAGGCCAACTGTGGAGACAGATGTGTAGTAGCGCGTGCTGCGCAACGCGTGAGCTTCTTCCTTTCTTTCTGAGCGGTGTTTTGTTTTTTTGTTTGTTTTTCTCCCATCATTGGACTCTGTCGTCTGACCTTCTGGCCCCTATCCTCCACTTCTACTAGCTAGACGACCCAACCGGGGTCACATAGGAGGGGGGGGTTGGACCCCCTCCTGCGGTTCATGCCTGAGATATTTTTATCGCGAGAAGGGTACAGCAATCCCTTCCCTCGCGGCGTACGAAGTCGATTATGGTTTACTAACAAACGAGCTTTGCAGCGCGTCGCTTTCATCCTAGACCAGGATTTATTTAGTGAGAAAAAAACTCTCTCTGCCGGGACTCGAACCCATGACCTGGCCCTTAGCAGGCTGTGAGGCTACCCACTAGACCACCGGGCGACCGGTAGTGTGTGTGTGTGTGTCGTTTGTCGTTTGAACAAGTTCAGCAACAATCAATCTGTACACAAACAAAAACTGAGCGTGTGTTGTGAGGTGTTGCGCCAACGAGGAATGTTAAGATGTACAGCAAAACCACAATGTATGCTACAAGTCAGCGCTAACTTGTAGCATAGTGGATATTATGCTGTAGTTTTATCTCTTGGTACAGCAACAGCAAATCCACTAGACTAATACAAATGTCTACTTTTATCGTCTAGTCTAAGTCAGCGCTGTCTTGTAGCATAGTGGATAGACTATTTAATATAGACTATATGGTGTAGTTAGTCGACATCTTAGCAGAATGGACCATGTCGGCAGCATGCATTGGACCGGGTCTGGCGTGCAGTGATGACCGTCTAACTGTCTTGCGGTACTGCTGTATAGTTTGGGTTTGCCATGGGCGTGGTGTAGACTATTGTATCACGGCCGAGGTGTGGGTACATGGCTAGCCTCACGGGCTGGTGGGGCATGTGTCGGGAGGACGTCGGGAGTATCTCGGGGAGTGTAGGCCAACCAGCAACGAACTGTTCCAATAGAGATAATAACATTGTAGATGCGAGCAAGATGGGATTGGAGCTTTTCTGCGGTCTTTGGAGGCGATTTGTAAAGAGAAAGACGATCAAATACCCAAAGATCCAGCGGTCTTCGGCGCTCGGGTGGATAAAAAAAACGAAATCAAATCGAATTCCGATGTTTGCAGTTTGCAAACTCTGTTTTGTAATGAGAGGTTTGATGCTGTGGATTTTTGACACATCGGACGGCGTATCCGTAAATTGGTTGCGGTGTCCACAGCAGTGTCCCCCATGAACGGGGCTCCGTGACTGAAACATTGGGGTGTGCGGTTGGTTGTTGCTTGGCTCTGTCTGCCACCGCGACCGCACACCAAACCTGCAACGGACTGCGCCGAACGTGGCCAAGCGGGAAACGTGCTAACACGCTTGAGACCTAAAGGTAAGAGTGAAGAATCCGTCCATTCTACCCATGGGTTCACTGAAGGCAAATTGAACGCACCGAAGACAGAAGATCACCCTCTGAGGTGGTGTAGCTACATACTACATCGTCCCCGTGTATCACGTGCAACACCCCGACGGCAGTAGCAGTCAGCGAGTCGATGTGTCGTGGTCGTCCCGGTTAAGAGTTCCCTGTTAGGTGGGCAGCCTGGTAGATTGGTTGTATGGTGGACTGAAAGCGCTATGCTTTGGTGTGGCGGTTGGATAGGCGGTGTTGGCGTCCTTCAACGGCAAGCGACTTGACCGCGTTCGAAATCGTGGGGGGGCTCCGTGCTGCGAACCTTGAGACAAGTGGTAGACAACAGGCACCGCCCAGAGTAAAGCACCAACAGTTGTACGTTGTTAGGCACGGTGCTACTGCTGTTAGCATATCAACACCATCAAAAGGGGCTGGCAGATGAGTCGTCCAGTTTTCCGATGTTGAAAGGTACTGAGTCCGCTGTGTAAATACGTGTGCGGCGGCTCGGAACACTGCGGGCACCCGGCCCTGAACTGGCGAGCTATTGCTAGCGACTATGCAGAGTCAAACGAAAATGGCAACACTTGTACACACACCTTGTCGTCCCACCGCGCTGTACTCTAGGAAGCACGTTCCCAGTGCTGTCCTGTACACAATTGAGAAACGTGGGTTGGGTGTAAGCGATCGCGCGAATAGCAGTTTGTCGACCTCTTCTTACCAGTGCAATACAATGGCTTGGAACACTGGTCGTGCGTCGCCCTTGCTCGATGGTCAGCTCACGGAAGTCCCACTGCAGTTTAGGAGGTCTGATTCCTGACTTGACAGCCCGACGAGTTGAGTAAATTGCATATAGTCACCGCTACATATGGTATATCTAAATCAACCAGACCGTGTTGACTGAAGTCTTCCGACATGTACCCTGTCCTGCTGCTCTTCTTTTGAGGGAGGAAAAGGAAACAGGAGAAAGGAAGGACCGGTACACATCCAAACATGGGCAAGAAGAAGAAACAAAAGGTGGCGAAGGATGAGACGGAGGCGTGGTGCTACTACTGCGACCGAGTTTTCGAGCACGAAGAGGTGTTGATTCTTCATCAGAAGACGAAACACCTCTCGTGCATGTTTTGTAAAAAGAAACTGTCAACCGCGGGAGGACTCGTAGTTCACGCTCAACAAGTACATCGCGAGACCATCTCAGAGTGAGTTAAGAGAAAGAGAGCGCCACCTGAATGTTTTCTGCTTTGGTACTAACCGAAGCGACTGTTCTTATTGGACAGTTGTGTTATAGATGGAGAGTTCCGTTTTACCATGGTAGATCTTCCCTCGAAGCCATGTTACACGGACAGATACACAAATCGATCAAGGCGTTGGTGTGATGCGTGAGCTGCGCTGAAATCAGCGAATATATGCTTGCGGCAGGCCCCGATCGCAGACATACCCTACGTGAAGCTGTGAATATTGACCCGGTAAGCAGTGCGTGAAGGCCAGGCTTCACGACGCAACGAACTGGACTACAGATTATGCCAACAAAACGAAACTAACTTCACGTTCCCTGTCGACCGCTTGTAGAGCAGGCGTGGGCGAGGATAACCTCGCGCTTGCGGTGCCGAAACTCACCACATGAGGCACTTTCTCGATGTCACGCAAGTTGTCTTCAAGCGTAACCATCTATCCTTTGGGTGGGTACACATACACATGTGTGTTCGTGGGTTGGTCGCGGCGTTTGCACGCGGGAGAGCTTATCATCAGCAAAGCATAAATACGCGGAAGAGAGGAAGCTTATCTCTCCATCCGCTGAGAACGAGGAGATAGGCGACAGACGTTGACATGTTGTGGTAGATATCGTCTACATGTTTGCATGATGGTGCTGCTGTTCATATGTCCTGGTGTGGTGTGCGGGTGTGTTAAAACAATAGCATACAGCAGAGCAGCAGTTAGGAGGTGTTGGAGGTGTGAGCACATACACGCTCCTGTGCCTACACCTACATTTGCTTCTCTTTGCGAACATGATGCATGTCTAGTGTGCGACCTCTCCCTTCCCTGTGCTCCTCGTGCACCGCGCGAACACTTGCGTTTGAACGAGCACGTTTTTTTCTTTTGGACCCAGAATCGCGCACGGGTGCGCACCAGCGTCCTTGAGTGCTACTCGTCTTTCAGGCTCAAAAAAATACATGTAATTCCCCTCCCGCACTCTAGTGTGACGCAAATGGGCGGGCACCGCTGTACAGATGTGGCTTGACAAGAAGGAAAGGTTCCCCTGGTGTATACAATGTCGCCCTTTGCACCGCTTCCGTGGCAACACCCACTTCCTGAAAACAAGAACAATTTGTACGTTTGCCAGAGTCCCAAATGCGAAGGAAGGGAGGAAGAGCGTGGACTTAGAGATCTACGGCATAAATGGCATCCCAGCTGAAGCCTGGGCCGAGCGGGCGGCAAAGAAGGCTCGCATCGCCGGAACCAACGGAGGCGATGGTGCTGCCGCCGCCGCAGCAGCAACAGCCCCAGAGACACCTAAAGTGGAGACCGCCACACCGGGGCAACAGCCAGCGACACCTGGGCAAGGAATGCCTCCCCAGTTCAACGGGCACCAGCCAATGCCCGGCATGATGTTTCCTGGAGGGGCCCCGGGGCCGGGGATGGGATTCCATCCCATGGGGCAGCCGGGGTTCCACCCGGGGATGATGGGACCGCCTCGACCAGGGTTCAACCCCATGCAGCATGGCGGGCCTCCCCCCATGCACGGAGGCCCGAACATGCCGCCGCATATGTTGGGCGGGCCTCGCGGCCCGAATGGCCAAATGCTCGGTGGGCCCATGCAAGGTGGGTTTCCACGGGGCCCCCCACCAGCCCCCCCGGGTCCGCCGCCCCGGGGCTTGCCTCCGGGCCTCCAACCTGGCAAAGGTGCGCCGCCGAGTGGCGCACCACCTGGGGTTCCCCCGGTTGGACCGAGAGGTGCCGTGCCGCCGTTGTTCCCGGCAGGCGCTGCTGCCGCCGCCGCCGCCGCCGCTACTGCACAACAACGTGAGTTTCATGTGTTCGGTTAAGGTTGCTTCGAATGTGAGAGGGAACTCGGTATGGAGGTTGCACAAACGACTGCATTCATATGCGCCAGTTCGATGCGACATGTCATCACCGGTTGATCTCCCTACCTCATGAGAAAGGCTTGTTTTTGCCTGTCAACTTACGTCCTAATTCGTCGGTTCTTGTTTGTTTCGCGGATGAAGCGGTGGCGGTCGGGAGCACACTCACGCGAGCACCTACACATGGAGCACCAGGAGGACCGCCGAATGCTTCGAGCGGGCTACCTGGGCAAGCGCAGTCGATGCCGGTTGTCGTTGGAGATGAGGAGTTTTCGATGGTGAGTGTTTTTTGCAACGGGGCAGGTGTTTGCCTTGTCCTTTCCATGGGCATGGAGTTTTTCTCATCTGCAGGAGAACTCTTTGTCTTTTCAAGTCATGGTTGGCGGTAAGACGTTGCTAGGACCGTAGCCTCGTACATCGTTTGTGTTCGGCAATCATGATCTTGTGGGAGATGACAACAGTGCCTCGATATGGTGGCAGTCGAGGGGTGGATGGGCGATCCATTTTGTGGCGAAGGCGGCGCAGTCAGAGCGATGTTGTGCGTGCGCTCAGCACGTGTAAGGCTTGCGTATGATATGGTAACTGTGATGCTCCTTGTCCCCGTGCGTGATGGTTAACCAAACAGGAAGAGAAGCGAGCGGAGCTTGCTGCCTATAAGGTGTGACCGGCGTGGCCGTTTGCCTCTGCCGCGTGGTCCTTGCCGGGCCGGGCAGCGATGCTCGCGGTGCAAGGGACTACCCACCTTTCAGATATGGCTTCGTGACAAGGCACGTTGTTTCGGCAATTCAGAGCAAGAGCTGACGTTTTGGGTAGCAGCAGCGACGTGATGTTTCTCGCCTCTGTTTAATCGAGTGTCCATGGGGTATGTCCCGTGGAACGTGGACCACATTGGAAGCAAGGCAAGCACACTTTCATGTGAGTCCGTGTCCTTTCTGCGAAGTGGTTGTGTGGGCTTCGGACTCTCGGCTACGGCGGTAATAATAGTTACGCTTCAACAGTAGCCAGCTTCTGCATCAATCTTGTCTTGATCAAGCCCAGGTGCGTTTTTTCTCAATGATGAGCACATCATACCATTGCCCGCGAAAATGAGGCTGGCTGCGCTTTGACAAGGTGGGTGGGAACGTGCTTGTGTGTAGGTAGTTCGCAGAGTTGGTTTGGCGTCACAGAAGTGGAATCGAGGGAACCAATCGTCTTGTCATGTAAGTCCTACACGGCTCCTCAACGAGTTGTGTGTAGCTTTCCGCGTTAGAAAGTTGCGCGAACACAATCATTGGTGAGGCGTCAGAGTCGAAATGGAGGCCGGAGCTTTTCCATGTAAGTGGCACTTGGTAGTGTTTATGTTTGCGATGGTCTAAAACAAGCTGCAGGATAGTTGTGTAGTGTGGGGCGTCGAAGTCGAGTGGAGGCCAAGCTGCTCATGTGAGTCAAAGTTGACAAGGTACGTGTGTTTTTGGTTTTGGTTCTCATATTTATCAGAAATTCTCAGAAAGTTAAAGGCATCGTTGGTCGGGCGATTATTCTAGAATCGAAGCCAGCGCTGTAATGTGAGGGACGTAACAATGCCGATCTTGCGAACGTTGCCTGTAGGTTGTTGCCGTCGAAAGTTGTGCAACGGTTGTTGGGGCGTCGCAAGTGAAAGCGATGTCCGAGCTCTCCCACGTGACTTCTAAACGATTCTCAAGAAAGGTGGGTGGGGGTGTCATTGCCTTAATATATACTGGTACACGAGTTGCGGAGTAGTTGGTGAGGCGTCGCCGTCGAAGGGAGGCCCTTTCGCACATGATTTGTGCCGCTGCCCGTACACAAGGTGGGTGCGAGAATTCGCCTTGAAGTTGCTCGCAGTCGGTAGAGGATTGAACGTTGAATAGCCTCGGTTGCCTCGTTGTCCGCGAACGGTCGGGCTAGCGACCGTGCCCATCTGATAGGACTTTTTTTTTCTCGTGAGTAGCCTTCCTCCTGGAAAAGGTGCGTGTGGTGTGGATTCCGCCGTGCGTATCAAGCTGTATGGGAGCTTGCCGATCGGATACGACAGTTTTTTTCTCGTAGGAGTAGCTTTACACTGTTTCCTCGAAAAAGGTTTGTGTGGTGCGGATTTCGCCGCGCGTTGCAAGCTGTATGGGAGCATGCCGATCGGACACGACAGTGTTATTTTCTCGTAGAGTAGGTTACACTCTGTTCCCTCGAGAAAGGTGCGTGTGGTGTGGATTCCGCTGTGCGTTGCAAGCAGTATGGGAGCGCGAAAGACTGCATTTGCTCGCACTTTTCCTATCGGCCACCCTTTCGTGCGCTATTTTCTCCATGATCGATCATCCTTGGAGTGTTGGCGGAAATCCGACTGTGCCCAACGCAAGGCACACGGGTTGGTTCATGTAAGTGCAAACCATATCATTTTTGCCGACCGAGGGGGTGCTGTCCATGAACTAGTTTGCTATGTGCATCCAGTATAACTCCGTGCTTCTCTTCCCCACGAGTATCGGGTACCGCGCAGCGGAAATGACAGCACAAGAGCGTTGTTCTCAAAATTTGGCCACCTCGGCTCTTTCACCACACTGTAAGCTCTACACACATCCCAAATTCCAATTTTGCATCCACGTTGGGTACATCACTGCTTGTACGGCCCCGGCCTTTTGCTTCCCGCCACCACGGTGTTCACTTCAACCTGCAGACCCTTCAATGAATCTGTCATGCCCACGTCGATAGCCTGCGGAAGGACGAGGGGAGCCGACGGGACGGCAAGGATATTCGGTGGTGTATCGCATGGCGCAAAGCCCCGAGTTCATCGTACTTGTTGTGTTGCCGTTTGAATAACTTTCGAATCAGCTGATCACGGTCACGGCGCAGAAGTGCAGTATCTACTTGCGTGCGAGGCGAGGCGGCGGTCCCTGTTGCCACGACGACGTCCAACGCACGAACGCACGGCATGATCGGGTCTATGCATACAAACGACTTCAAATTTCGCACGAACATGGCCCGATGACACGTTTAAATTCGCGTACAACCGATCATTGTCTTTCTCCAATATTTTCATTAACGATCTAGCCATCAGCACGAATACAACATTGTACATGAGGCTTCTGCCGTAACACCACCTAAGTAACGCTGTATGAAAACTTCATCTCTTCCAGAAAAGTTGGTGGCCCATTTACAAAGCGTACACATACTTGTCACCTCGCGTAGGCGACGGATACATCCGGATGGATAGTCACCATGTTGTCCGGACGAAAATCTAAATGTGGCGTCCCTCGCAACCCGCAAAACTCAATTCATTCGGCATGAGCGATGCGTAGATGAACAGGCTGAAAACGTTTTTTGGTGAGTGTAGCATGCATCGCAGTGTGGGAGCCAGCTGCTGAACATTCCACGACTACCAGGGCTCTACACTGCTCACCTGCCCGATTTCTTCCACTTGTGTGATCATGTCATTGATCGCCTGTTGGAGAAGATGGGGCTGCACCTTGTCCTTGTCTGGAGGGCGCTCCTGTGAGACAGATTGGTTCGAACAGTGGAACTGCTACGGTAAACGAGTTGGTCGGAACTCGCTTTGGGCTTACAAGCACGAGGATACGCTCAACAGATGGTTTCGCCAGAACTCGCCGCATGGCCTTTTTCATTGGGGAAAAGCTTTTTCACCGACGAAACGCCGAAACCCGGTACTCAGGGATGTTATTAACGACCAAGAAATCACGGAACATTTCACCGAAGCGTGTTTTCTTGAACATATATGGAGGCGTTTTTTCCCGAAAACGTGACAAGAAGGAACCGGGATTTTTTGGGCTTGCTACTTTCACGGATCCGTGTTTTTGACAGAACAATCGGACAAGCGCACCGCTGGCGCTGTAACACCACTGAGAACGCTAGAACGACCTGCCAGACTCATGTCCAGGTCTGTTGTGGAGATGGACAAGCGGCAGAAGCGGCGTTCAGTCCGTTCTTGGTCCAATACTAGACATTCCGTGGTGCTCTCGTCTTCAACTGCTGCTGTTGGCGCTGGGGAGTTTTTTTCAATCACACATAGCAAACACGGAAACAATAGTAGGACGAGTACAGCAGCAGCAACAAGACCTCCAACGCCCTGATTCTTTCGGTTCGGCTGTCTATTTGATGCCACCTCCCGGCGCCGTGCTGTTTCGTGGGTATTGGGTGCTTGGGTGCTGCTCAATAAGGTGTGTGAGAGACGTGTGCCACCTCACCAAAATGCCCTTGGAACAAATGCGGCGAGATGATCTGTTTTTGGTTGGACACGTCAACGTCAATCTACGGCACCACGCAGCAGAAGAGCAACAGGGCCTCCAACACGCTAACTTTTCGGATTGGCCATCTGAATGATGCTTGCCACCCTATGATTGTTGAGCTCGTCTACCTTTGGGCAGGTGGTGGTCAGAGATGGGAGTCGCAACCGTGAAAAATGAGCAGGCAAACTGAAGAAATCACAAGCATCACCCAGGTTGCGACTCTCTGCCCTGCGCCTGTTGTTGCTGACAACTTGAAACAGCAGGCCGGGTGGATAGGATCTTTCTGTGTTGTCCTCTGTGTCGGGTGCTGCTCATTGCGCTTTTACCGCTGCTCTATGATGAGCAACACCAAGTCAACCTGTTGCGTGCCGAGCAAAGCGTGTATTCAGGGAAGGAAACGTACTTCTTGCGATGACATGACGAATGGAACAAGTGAAAAAAAGTCGGGTTTTCTTTTCACCGTTCCGTGGAAAATTGCCCGACTTTTCCGTTGCGTCAATAACGAGCCTCACCAAAAACACATCGTTGTTGGGCAGTTGTAATCGATCCTGGAGAATAGACTTCCTGACGCCATCACAATCTGTCCGCAGCAGTGTCCGCAGCAGCTTCTCCTCCGGGTTCAACTGGGTAAGAACGGATTCGTGCACGCCGGCATGGGTAGCATTACCGTCGGCGACGAGTGCAGTATGACTGTAACCTGGACGCCGACCTTCGTACTTTTGCCGTCGCATGCAAGGGATATCGGGCTGCAACTCACGACGTGTCACGCCCTCTCACCCGCTCGTCTTGTATCATCATGATGAAAGTCGTCAAATGTGTCAAAAGCATGACGGCGTGATCCGCTCCCTCGGCGTCCTTGGCCTGGAGATAATAGAAAAGACAAAAAAGAGTTACTCTGAATGATGCTGACGTTTACAGGTTGAGGAAAATGCCTCTTCAACACGTTTACAGAATCCGAATCTCGAGGTCCACGAAGTTATCCCGCTCTTCATAACAAACCTACACTCCTGAATTTATTTCGTCAATTCAAGGTGCAAACATGTGTGCTGCGATTATGATAAACGACCAAAATTGCAAGCAAACCCTGTCCCGAAAAGGTCCAAGGTTGCCGTTCTGGCACTGGGCGAAGACTGCTACTCCAGGCTCTTCACGCCGCGGTAAAATACATAATTGATATGGAGGCAAAAGCATTTTGCTTGATCTGCATTTCTGGTGCAATACAGGCCCGTAGAATCGTGTCAAGTTGTCACCTCACCCGTTGCAAGTTCATGCTGATCATGACCATGAAAGCCATGTTGACCTTTCCCTCCCGAAATAGTGTTCGGATTCTGCCCTCCATCTTCTTGATGTCAGGGGCCTGCTCGGCGGGAAGGATTTAGCGACATACTAAGTATGTAGGCGAGGCATACAAAACGCATTAAAACGGTGTACTCACCAGTTGTCAGCACAAGAACGAGAAGGGGGGTGGGGGTTTGAGACACACGCTCTGATGCAAAGAAATTGAGAAACTTTGCTCACTTCAGGCCAATGTACCCAACTACTTTGACACTGCGAGCTTGCGTTTGCAAGAATAGTAGCCCTCGCATGTGAACCAACAACGCGTGTCCTACTTCGGCTACACGAACCAACCAGCGCCTACACCTACAACAGCAGCCACGGGAGCACTGTGCGACCATATTCCCTTCGGCAGGCCTCACATCTGGCACGAAAACGATCTCAAAAGAATACCAGAAAAATGTCCCAGGTCTCGCAGATATTCGAGATACGTGGTTCACACGGAAAACCCATGTTCCAATCTGCGATGCCATCGGCATACAGCCTTCGTAGCACTGCAACATCATCCATACAAGGTCCCTCCTATGGGCGTTTGAACAAGGGGAGGTGATGCGACACAGAGGACAAGTACTGCGGTAGGCTAATCGTCACGTGAACGAACGCGCACTTTTCTTGTCCCCCCGGGCCTTCGTACTCAGTTCTGCGGCGGGTTTCGTTGAGTTGAAGTTGCTGATCTGGGAGTCTCGTGTGCGTTTTCCCAAGCGCCCGTGTCTTGCCAAGTAGACACCCGAACGTCAAGAGAGACCCATCCTAAGTTTGCTCGATACCAGCTATCATACTCACTGGGCTACTTGAGTCACAACGTTACACGATAACGGGCCGGAGTGGATACATGTTTGCCGCATTCCGTGTTACTGCGCGTGACCGCCGTCGTTACTACGCCGTACCGATATGTAGGTCGGATGACCGCACCGGGAAAAGATCTGCATCGAACTTCGTACTTGTGTACGAACGTACGTCTGTATATGCATAATGCTAAGGTGATCTCGGAATACTGCCTACGACCTCAGAACAATGGAGGTGATAACAAAACAATAGGTGACCGTTCCTTTCCGCAAATGGCCGTGTACTATTGCCTCTAGACCTCACAGCGTACGTTTCGCGTTACACTGCTGCAGGGGAGAAATCTGGGGTTTACCCTCATTCTCCATTTTCTCCACGTAGCGTTTCCAATATAAATCAAGCGTTTTTACTTTTCTTGTGCAAAACTACGCTACATCTACACGTTCATGTGTATCACTCAATCGCTGCATTGAGCACGTACCAGTACCTACTGTGCGAATCATCTCAACGCACCAGATCCAGGACTTGTCGCAGGTTCGAGTCGGCAGCCGCAAGTCTCCTTTGCATGGCCATATTGATCTCCTCCTCCACGTGTTTCAGCGCAGTGGCCTGCCAATGAAGTACAAGCGTCCACCATCACACAACGTCAACAATAGAAGTACGTGCAGACCTAACAGACTGTGGTAATGTTCAAAGACACAGGAACCGCCGCGTCCATGATGACGCGAATGTGCGTACAGCATTAGACCACACAGTAGCGAGTCGGTGTGCTGCTGTGTACGAGCTTCAGTACACAATGATGCCCCGAAGCGCAACCGACCATGACTCCATCAGCAACAGCTAATCCACTTGGACAGATCGTCCTAAGGACAACAACCTTGGTGCGCGATTACTCTGTGCACACAATCCAAATGACACGGTCTCTTAATAGTGGACATGCAAGGGTGAGGTGCAGACTCCGGGCCTCTGAGCCTGCTGCTGCCTGCTGTAACAATCCCGCGCCCGCTCTCTTGGGAGGGAAGAGCTGCTGGTTGGTAACTTGAACTATTTACTTGACGTGGTTGAAAATGTGTGTGTGTGTGTGTGTGTGTGAGCGAGCATGTGTGCGTTGATGTTCGTGTGCGTATCACCCCCTCCTCACCTCTGGGGACTGCGCTTCCTCGGCTTCGATTCTCCCGCGGAGATGCGTCAACAACGCATGATCACACAGGTCCAGGTACTCCTCGACCGTCGCTGTCACGTTGCCGCTCTTCGGAGATGTGAACTGGTCGATGAGGGCATCGAGAACAGAGTGCTCCTCACCCTTCGTCCCAACAGACGATTGCACAGCATCTCCACCTGCCAACATATGCAACGGGAGCAAGCCGCGCGATGGCCCTCTCAAAGCTGCTGCATCGAGGATCGTTTGTGTCGGCGATGAAACTGGTGCAGAGGAAGGGAGAGCACAGGTGCGGCAGGCTTTGGACTGCAGTTTTTGAAAGCCAACAACCGAGAAGGCTTCAGCCTGCCGCCTTGCCAGCAGCCAACCAACTATCGCACTAACGCAGTTCCACTTCAGTAACATCTCCTCAAGATCTCCTCCGTTACCCGTCACGACACGAGACCAGTGATCAACAACGTTGTGACGTCGTCTAACACTACGTCATGTGGTACCACCTGCTGTGCCGGTTCCGGCATTCCGCCGCACAGGGGTTTCCACGTAAATGTCCCGGTACAACACACGGTCGTGTTGCACATGTTTCCAGTCCATTCGAGCCTGCGCCCCTCACGCCTCTGCTCGTTGTTGTCCTTCATCTCGACCGCCGCCCCCCACGCCCCTTTGTCTTCAGTATCATTTCCATTTGGTGTGTATTCACACGCCCACAGAACAACAAACAAGTACATCAGTGCTCTGGCTCCGGATCTACACATCTAGACTGCGCTGCTGTTTGTTACTTTTTCAATTTTTTTTTCAAAGGCTCCCCCCCTCTCTCTGTGCAAGCTCCGTGTGTAGGGGAAGACAAAGAGTCGGAGTGGCCTCAGTTGGGGCCCACAGTCTACACAGGTCACCCTTGGTCGAGGCTCAGTTTCTTACTTCGTCACTACGGTAGAGCGCAAGCTAGGCACACTCTGTCAACAATGCAGTGAAGGACATCGCCCTTCGTGGTACATACAGTAGGGGGCCCTCTATAGTGCCGGTATGTGTTCAGAGAGCAAAGCGGCACTATACCGGGCACCGGCACTATTCAGAGTACAGAAAGACTTGATATTCCGGTGTGTGCGAGCCGAAAACACCGGCACTATACCGGCAACCGGCACTATATCGGGCCACCCACTGTAGGTGGTTGGACTATTCGGATCTTTCGATTCGTGACAAAAAATGGACGGAACCTTCATCTTTGACCAAAGGTTATGACTCTGATATTAGAATATAAGAGTCATAACCTTTGTCTTTGACGACCCCATATGTTACAAACATGCATTTACGACGATGAGCTGCAGTCTACCCTGCGGCTTACCACGTTGTTGCATATTTACGAATTAGACAAAAAGGGATGATGAAAATTCAAGAGCTTCAGCAACACGCCAAAGAGCGTGTACTTTCCCCACCCAACGCCGACGAAAGAGCCCACTACATCCAAGATAATCTTGCAGGCGGCTCTGAGACGAGAGTAACAAGCGATTCGAAACGTTCACACTAATGCTGCTGCTATATACAGTATTCGACGAACGAACCTCCGGAGTTCTCCGGACTCTATCGCCAACAACGCGGAACGTATTAATCAGTTCTCAGTAGGGCTCGCTGAGAGCTCCACCACCTACCTGTGGTTGACATCTATCTCTCGCTTTCGACAGAGAGACTTCGTTCAATTACAATAGCGTAGACTGCACGCGCACATCAAACTTCCAGCGGCCACCCAACATGGAACTATGGGCACATGGTTGCCTTCTCCCCTGCCCCGTCGTGGGAGAGACAATGCGACAAATTTTAAATGGTGACCACAAAAAAAAGAGGCGCAATAGAAAGACCGCAAATAATTACTACATGGTGGGTCTTCGAGACTCCTACGGGTCGTTCGTTGATTGTCATCGCGACATATCTCATCCAGCCTTCTCTATCTAGTACAGCGAGCCCTCGCAAGCATAATCAGCTTTATGTAACAACAAGTTCGCACATAGATAACACGGCGAGAAATTGAATACGCCCGGGTTGAATCTCCAAGAATACTGCAACAGTAGTCCCCCTCGCGCTATTTTACACGCAGAAAAACACATCCAGCATGCCAGGCCGTCTGTCACGAAGTGTCAGCGTATCTCTCTGTCTCCACGCAGCAGAATAAGGCGGCATCCGCCCGGTTGGAGTCTGGTTAATTTGATTTACACCAAGGCTGTCTCAACCCAATGCTTCTGTTTTGTTGTGTACTTTTCCTACATTGGTTTCCGGGCCACGCTACCCAATGACCAAGTACGTACGCTATGAGAAATAGCCGCGATCAACGACGGGTCCTGGCCGCGCCCGAGCATTCGCGCATGACCAAACCTATAAATATTGCTGGTGCCAACTATGATGGTTCCCCGTAGCCAAATTCTACTGCGCACCGCGCCCGCGCTCAATCGTCCAGTTGCGTCAGCATGGCGACCCCGCGCTTGATCCAGTGCTTTTGTGTGTGCTCCTCGGCAAGAGGCAGAGTGATGAACATGACGAAATTGGTTGAGTGCCCAGTGGTGCTGAGTGTTCCTTGGCGGACAGACGTCTTGTAGACCGGACACATGTACGAGTGCGAAGTTCCACCCGGTTGTCCTGTATACAGCTCCGGACACCCCTCTACTTCCGGAATATCCGTCTTCATTCGTGGAAGCAGCTGCATGTACGGCATGCTCACAAACAGTTCGCGTGGTCGAGATTCGTCGATGGCGTGGCGAGCTACGTTCCATCTTGCGCCCTCGATAAAGAGCCCCCTCATGAAAGCTCCGTCTTCTGCTTTCGTTGTGTCCGCTTCTTTCATCTCAAGCGGTGTCAGCACTCGGAAATCGAAGTTGGCCTTGTCGATAGGCACCTGGCGTCGGAGGAGGCGGGCCCGCACGAGAAAAGCGAAATGAACGCTCCATTTTTTCAAACCAGAGGGGTAGTCTAAAGACATAAGACCCCTTGAAAAAAAGGGAAGTGTGAATTTCGAAGGGTACATATTCCCAAATGATTTTCCTGGCATTTCCGCCTACTAAACACACCATCTTAAAAACATGGCGGGCACAATAATATTTGAGACACTCATGGGCCATACACACCTTGTGCTTCCGAGCGAAGTTCTGCAAAGTTCCCGTGATGAACGCCTGCGTGAAGAAAAACCCACTCAACCAGAAAACGGTCGGAGCGATGCCATTCTTCATCCATGATCCCAGGAAATCCAACCGAAGGAGGAGATCTGTAACCCATGACCCAAGTGGCATCAGGCTTGGGTATGCGGCGGAACTCCACAGCAGAGGAACCTGTCATGCAAACAAAAGTCGGTGATGAGGATTGGCCTCAGTACGATTGGGCCGGCCAAGCAGAGAACAACTGCAGCCGACGAATACGGGGACATACCGGCAACTTTATCTCAGAGAATCATTCTACTACATACCTTTCCGACGACCATTGAGTTTCCCATTTGCTCCAGCTCGCTGCTCATCACCACTAGCCCCTTGATTGCCTTGATCACTTCCGCGAGCGACTTGGAAATTATTCTCGACAGACCATTGAACCGAATGAGCTCTTGCGTCAACACCGTGTTCATAGACTCGTCGTATCGAACCGGGAAGTCGAGAAGGGCACGTTCAACATCGAAAACCGGCGGCATGCGTGACAAAATGTCCTCTGCCAACTCGCTCAGAGTGGCATCCCAAGACTTCGCCCCCCCCCCAGCCGACCGCGGCTGCAAGCTCAAAGCGGTGTCCAGCAACGAGTTCGTTTCCGACAGAGCACATGACATGTTCGCGTTGGCGTGTAGACCGAAGACCTCAGGGCCTTCGTTGTACGGAAGGCCCTTGATGTACTCCACGAAGTCGTCCTTGGATCCCACCTTAGGAGCAAAGTACGTGCCGCTTGGGCTGCAGAGGCGGAGAGGAGAGGATAGACGTCAAAGGTCAATCTGCTAGCCCTGTCTCGTAAGAGTCGTTTTATGTAGACCCAGTACCACCACAACAGCATGATTCCCCGTCCAGCTGTTCAAATGATTATGTGTCTCGCTTCAATGTATGGTGTGCGTAGCTCTGAGTAGCTCTTGCCTCACCTGAAGCGGTAGTCATCGTCTTGTATGTCTTCGCAGTAGAAATCTGTCAAAATATTGACAAGGCACCGTCTATCCTTGTCGTCGGTGACGCGCCCGCCGTAATTACACTCGCCGGCAAGGTATGCGAGAGCAGCATACGGGACTGGGTCCTGCGGTCGAAGGTTATCTAGGAAGATCCGGAGCTGATCCATGGAAATACGTAGATCTGGACCCGAGAAAACGTACTGGTCAAAGCAGGCACACACGACAGGGGTAGGCAGACATATGGTTCAGGTGATAAACCATACAATATCGTCCCTTTGCCCTCATGTGTGGTCGCAAGCGTGGTAGCTTTCAAAACGATAACACAACGGTAGCACACGTTTATCAAGACATCGACCTATCACACCATATCATATTTTGGCCCACGTAACGTGTGCTACGAGTAGAGTATGTATAACTAGAGGGTCCTGAGTAGCTCGAAAAGCGATGCCATTGTACGCAGCAAACAGAAACATGGTGTACCAAGCGTGCACGGCCGAACCTGAATATTCCACCCCAGGGGTCCAAACTTTCTTCGTTCACGAACAGTAGCGTGGAAGAACGTCAGGCCGAACAGCATCTTCTTGAACACGGCGGGACGCAAACAGGTGTCGAACCAATCGCTCTCGATGTTGTAAAAGGACCCCAGCAGGTTCGCCCTCATGCCCTGTGGGGAATCGGCGAACACAATATCGGTTGGTTTTCATCTCACCTGGGATGCGTACAACAGCAAACACGTTCGATCACCCTCCGATGGTAACAACACGCGGTGAGCCAAGCTGTACATACCTTGGGGGGCTCGTTCGTCATCTTCACTCCGTTCTGAAGAATGAAAGAAGGGAAATGGGGGCTCGGTTCGGACGTTAGCCACAGGCGGAAGGTCTCGTGCACCCGGTCGGGTGTTAGCTCTTGGCACAGTCTTTCCAGGGTAGGCATCCACGATATGCACAGATGGCAATTTTGGAGGCATACCCACGTGCCGGCATCTGCTGCCTCCGAGATGGCCGCCTGTTGGCGTTGGAGCAGCAGAGAGGTAAAACAATCAAATAGACGTACACGCATACCTCTTGGTAGTAGCGTAGACTCTTGATTTTCTTGGATGCATACGAAGGGGTTCTGGTGTCGACGAGAACCGCCAGTCATATGCATACCAATTCCGGAGTTTCGATTCACGCTTGGTGAAGGAAATATTTTGCTATTGATGCGCAAATCGGTGCAGAAGGTTATGATGTCCAAGGCAACAACTTCCTGGTTTGACTGTCAGCATCCATCAGCGGCAATACTCACTTCTGCCAGAGGCCCTTGTCCTTGGCCAAGACTGATGGATGCCAACTTTTTCCCTCCGAATCCCATTTCGTCGGCCACCCTCAGCAGCTCGGTCATAGGGTCCGCTCCTGGAGTAAGAACGAAGATCAATGGTGTGGAGCAGGTCGAGTCCTCGTAGCACGCCCTCAAGTCGAAAGGTGGAGGCTCGATGAAGCTGGTGCCCATCTCCTGCTCGGTGCGATTTTTACCACGCATGTGTGTCTTGTTAGGTGGGATGACACACAATCAGGCTCTTTAAGCGTGTCGATGATACTTTGAACGTTGTACCCTTGTGAGACGCAACAATCTTTCTTGAGCGTCTCTCTACAAGCAATACACCCCGTGTTACAGCAGCTTGTCAACAGAAGCATGATACGCTGTCTTACACAAACCGAGCGATCTGGGCCAAAATTTATCCCACATCCTCCGGGGGGAACGATTGCTACACACTAATCGGTCCGAAACGACGCTGACAGTGCGCCCCCGAACGTTTTGTAAAGACCACAACCTCTCCGTTCTCTTTCAACAAAGTGCCTATCACCTGTGCCACAAACGTTTGCACGCCTGGAACGACGATGTCTGGTCGAATAGCACGAAGCAGGCACAGCTTCTGGAAAGGTTGATAGGCATCGCCCACAACCTCCTCGATCTCAGCCCATGGGTCGGCAGAGACGAACACTCCCTCCCACACGCTCAAGTTTGACTTGAAACTTTCCGCGAAGCCAGACATGGCCTCAAGCTTGCCAGCGGTGATGATTTCACCCCATGTCTTGTCCGTCAACCAGCCTTCGCCGTTGGCAAGCGGGTTCGGCTCTTCGAGGTCGAGGCTTGTCGCGCCTTGCAAGAAAAATCGGAGTTCTTCGCCATCCATGCGTCTTTCTCCTTGCATGATCTTGACCGACAAAAGGAAGGAAAACAGAAGCTTGTGCTTCTCGAACAAGCTCCGGCAAACGTTCTTGTAAAGCATCGCCGTGAAGCACTCGCTTAGATTTCTCAGGCGATCTTCAAGAACGTGCGCCTTGGTTGCCTTGTCGATCGCCATCTCGAAAAGGTTGATGAACCACTCAAGCGAGTACTTCGAAGCGTCCGAGAGCCAAAGGCAGGGAGGAGGCAAAAGTGTTCCATGTGACAAGCATATACGGCGCACGATAGCGAAAATAAATAAAGAAAGAGAATGACATGAGGATGAGCCCGACATCCAATTGTACGAACCACATGTTTCCAAAGTATTGTGTCTGTGTCGCCCTTCAATCGTGTACCCTTAACAGTGCACTCGTTCTCCGAAGTGAAATTCGCCACCCACGGGTAGAAAGGACACAAAGAAATGTTACCTGATACATCGGGTCCACGGTGCCAAGGTCTGCTATGCAGAAGAAGAGCTGTGAAGCCCGGAAGGCAATTGGAATATAGCCCGTCCTCGTCTTGGCGATAACCTCTTGTGTCTTGGCAGCTTCTTTCACCTTCCGTTCTATGACATTCGATGTGACTTTCGACTGTGCCAGCGTCGATATCAACACCTGTGGGATCAAGGTATACACAAGGCAAAGCGTGGCGAAAACTGAGTGACACATTAGCGATCGCACGAGGCCAACGACGAGACGTTTCAGAGGTGAAAAGCGTTGTGGGCACCGCACGTGGCAATGAGCGTCCAAATCCCGTGCGGCAGAGGAAACTGTCTCAGGATCGTGGAAGGGGTCCTCACTCTCTCACCTCGTCGTCAAGGATGTTGCCTTCGCTGTTTTTCAGCAAATCGAGGATTGTGTCCTCAATCTCCTTCTGCACGCGCTTGTTCTCAGCGTCTTCCAGGACGAGTTGTTCCCGGCGGGCTTCTAGCTCCGACTCCTCGCGCGCGACCGTTATGCCAAGCATCTGGTCCTCCAAACCTTCTTGTGTTGCCATAAAGTTAAGGAGATTCACCTGCTTGCGGGAAGCACAAAGCGCTGAGATCGGGGCTCGTCGATCAAGCTCATGCGGACGGTGTTGAATTTGAAGGCCTTGTCGGCTCGAAAATACGTGGTCGATGCTAGTGATTCTATGACACAAAACCCGAAAGCCAGTCGTGATAAAATGTAGCGGACCGTGCAACGAAACGACAAGGTACGGGGTGCCTGCAAAACAAGACTCATCAATGGTTTCACGTACCTTCACGCATAGCTCCGGAGGGTAGTGAGGATTCGTCATCTTCGTGCTGATGTAGAGGCGGAAATTCGGGTCGTACTCGACGTTGTTGTCGCCCATGCGAATTGAAGAAATACCGCCCACAGTCACCACTTGCTTCAACAATACGGGTTCAAGAACGGGGTCAAGACTCTCGGGGACGTTTTCCAGCAGGATGGGAGACCCAAACTGAATCGCGTTCTCGATGGTCCGTACAAAGTTTGCCTGTATGACAACAAAAGGAGAGGGGTAATTGGATTTACAAGCACATAATACGTGGGTTACCTACGGAAGTAGGGGCAGAATAGTACTCACACGGGCCATTCATCAAGGGCACAAGCTTCTGTGCGGCTTTCAAGGCAATGCATTCAGAGTAGTGTAGCAGGTCTTGAGCGAGGCAATAAATTTCTCAAAGGCACCCCTTCGTACCTGGTTTTGCTTCACCACCTTGAGCTGGTTGTTCATTTCTCTCTTTTTCACCCACTTGTTGGCTTGTCCTTGCGGGTCGATCATGAGCGGCCAGCGGTTGCTTTCGAACAACATGATGGCATTATCAATGCTGAAGCTATCGTTCGGGAGCTTGTCGATTACCCACCCACGAATCTTGACAGCGTCGCCCAACGTTGTCTCAAGTTTGAAGTTTTCACTGCATGGGATGCTCTTGGCCCCCAGTAACCTGGCCCATTGTGAAATGGCCTGTTCTCGGAACGATGATGTGAAGGCCCCCATGTAGGCAATGACACCGGAAGACAGCGTGATATCACCTGCGAAGATGAACGGTGCATGGTGGGTCGGGCCAACAATGCGAAAACGTTATGGCAGCCCAATGTCCAACTCAAACACGGGCAATGTGTGATCGAATTTCCGCCAATTTTCGCAGCAAGGGTGCACAGCAAAACAGCACAGGGAGATGTTACTGCAGCGCGTGTGCTAAGTAGAGCAAACGAGTAGCGCAGTGCTGCATGCCGTACGTGATCACATCGTTACCTGTGACATTTTCATATCGATTTTGAAGCTCTCCGGAAAATCTAGCCCAGGCTGTTTTTTCTCCGCCTAGACCTGATATGAGCTGTTCCGCTCGCCGAAGCTTGTTGCCACAGTCAGTTACCTGCGTACAACAAGAGCGGTGCTACGTTGGAATCCTGAAAAGGATGCAGAAGGGTCTCCATTTTGCACGAAAGGACACTAACCCTTAAGCTCTAGATGAGTTTCCTATGCTTTTGTTCTTCACCAACGCTTCCCACCTGATCTTGCAGAGCAACCTTCTTGTCCTCCGCTTCCTGCAGCTGCTGCTGAAGCGTGGCGAGCTTATCCATCAGATCCTGTGCGTCGCAAGCAGGCACACAAGAAAAGAAGAAACGTCGTTTTTGGCCTGAGTGTCCTGCTGACCGATCGAGTGATCACGTGTGGCATACTAGCCAGGCTTGATGTCATCAGCAAATACAATTTGAGGACGAAGAGTACGACGAACAAGGTAAACCATCACGTCATTCTCAAAGTAGTAGTTCTTAGTAGCGTCCCTTGCCTTCAGCATAGCCTGCTTTTCGCCCAGATCCGACATCGCCTGTGCCAAAGTAGATTCAGCCTCCTCAAGAGCCGCTCGCTTGGGCCCCACCACCTTAGCGACCCGATTGTAGACCACCATCGCGTGCACCCACTTGCAGAGCCCTGCCGCAGCTACCGAGCCCTTCTTGACCTTGTCGGGGTCGAAGTCCGTGTCGTCCGTATAACCCGTTTTCACCTGCACGCCATAGAACGGCGGTAAGACGGCAACAAGCATAGACCAAGGTTTCTATCCTTATCGTCCTGGTCGCAATAGTCGCGGCGAGCACACAAGTCTACACCTTTCATCCTGTTGACGGAACGTTTCTTGAAGCGAATATGTGGGCAACTTGAAAATGATGAACACGTGCATGAGGCGGGATAAAACCAGTATTATACCTTTTCGACCATTGCTGAGTCCATGTTGTCCTTGTCGTAGTCCATGAGGTTTTGGAGGAAGCGCGAGTCACCTAGTAGGTTCTTTTGGGCTGGTCCCCAGTAGTCGTCAACTTTCTTGGTGCCTCCATTTGGGTCCTTAATCTTGTCTGGTTTGACGCCCATCATGATACAAACAGCTTCCATCACGAGTTTCACGGCGGCTGGGGGCTTCTTCATTGCTTTGACCTGCGCCATCGAAGGCAGATGCGGAGGGTGTGTGAATGATCGTACGTGAAAATCACGAGCACGATATTCGGTGGTTGTACACGATAGATAGGATAACTTTGCACAGGATAGGGAGGGGGAGACGTGACGGACTTATACCCGTCCTCACCTCCACGATGTCACCCTTTGACAAGCTCTTAAGGGCAGAAACCGCTGATTCCAGCGCAGGAAGAGCTTCGGCGAGATCCGTTTCACACGAAGCTTTGAGAGCCTTCGATTCCTCTGCTTGCTTGTTGCAGATCACTTCCTGTGAGTGGAAGGACGTTACCGAAGGCATGTATTTGCTCGCGTCAAACGTCCACCGCCAGTTCATCCACCGCAGAATATAGTTCTGCAACTCCGCGAAAGGCGCGGGGTTGTTTTCAGGAAGTACACATACTCTCAAACGAAAGACCACCCGTTTGAGATACAGCCAGGGTCCAAGGGGATGGGTTGGAATCTTTTCAATTCATGGGGGGGAAAACCTGCTGGATATTTGGTGTACATGAATCTACGTAAGCCCATACACTGAAATATTATGCAGTGGTGCCAGCTGATGCTAAGCCCCAAAACCTCTGTTTACGTGAATGTAAACTTGCCTCTTTCTCGACAACCGCCTTTTTTTCGTTGGCCACCTCCGTGTCTTTAGCAATCTGGACCAAAAGGGCGTCGGTCGCAATGGTGGCCTCCTTGAGTTTGGGCTGGAGCTGCTCAAGATCAATCTGCATCTGAGCCACCTGCTCTTCCGTGTCAGCTAGCTTCAGGAGGCCGTTGTCGTAACGCTCCTTCCGATCTTGAACGCTCTTTCTCTGCCGATGCAACAGATTCTGCACGCCCAAAAAACGAGGCCGTGCCGTGCGGGCAGCGTTTGGGTGCCAAAATGAGGACTGCGAAAAGTCTTGAAAACAGGCAGACATAGCGGACGCTTATCTGATAGTCCATGCTGCGAAGGACGTGATCGCTGAATCTTCAATCCCATACTCTACCCGAAGCCAATACTGCTGCAGCCAATAGCCTAGACGACGATTAGGGGCGAAGCTCGTTTTTCTCTAGTCGGGTTACATGAATTCATTGTTGTAATCCGTGGTGTGTGTGTGTTCCGCACGCACTCTCAGTCGATGTGTAATCGCCCTTAATCTCCCACCTTAAAAGTGTTGATCAACTCCAAGTACGACGTTGGAGTGACGTAGTAAAAGCGACCCATCTCACTCCGATATCTCTCGGCCATTTCCCGGACTCTCTGTTGCATGTCGACACATACGTCCACCACACCCGCCTTGATCGTCTCTTCCATGTCCACAGCGTCCAGAAAATGTCGTGCAACACTTTTCAGAGCCTCCTGTGGCCACGCTATGAACCTACATTTGGTTATCATGAAAGACGATTGTCACTCTATGGCGCCTGCATGCGGTTCCGTGTGTGTTTTCCGTGGTCGCACGAGATACACATTGTGAGAGCACCCACTCCGGATAAACTGAGACCTCACCAATCGATGGTGCAGCAGTTCACCAGCGAAGGGAACATCCTTAACCGCGTTCGGAAGGCATCCCCGATGGGGCTGAGGCATAGAACCACGTGCAGATTTGTTCGCGCTCGCTCAATGAAGAAGGCGTACACCTCACTCGGAGATCCCGTGTTGATTCCCGCCGCCTGTACAACATGAGAGCACATGTGCGTAAATTCCAAGAACGTGAGAGAGACAGGTTCGAATGATAGCCATGCGATAGCAATGCGAATGCGTCTGCCAAGACATTTGTGGGTAGTCGGTGTTTCCCGCTTAGAGTCAAGCAAGAATGACGCCAGTGTTGACGACAGTCTTTAGTGAAAAGCGCAAGAAGCCGATGTGCTTCGCATATTTTTTCTTTTCCTCGTACCTGCGCAGGCTTTGTGAGGGCCTCGTTGATAGCCACCATCTCCTCATTGTTGAAAAGACTCGGCACTTCACCAGTGTTCAGTATGCCGTTCACGTCTTCCAAAAATGCCTCGTTGATAAGCTGGGTATCGTCCAACAAGAACACGGTGACCCTAGAAGCGAAAGTTGCAGGAAAGGCGAAGAGTTACGGGAATAACGCTAGTCTACGGACGTATTCGCCCAAGTGTGCATCGAGTACATGCCGATTGCATTGCCACCCGCAAGTACATCATGTAGGCTTCGGGTTTGCTTCGGCGGCATCAGTGGCGTAACATACCTGTTGTCGGCGCCCGCCATGGTCAAAACCTTCCTCAGGTCTTCTCGCCATTCTACCATGCCGTAAGATTTTGAGATCTCGATCTGGAACAACGTGTAGTCGGCAATCGATACAGCAAGGACGGTGAGAGACTTGCGTCCGGAGCCCCCAACGCCGACCAGAAGCGCGTTGCCCATCGGCTGGCAGATGATCCTGCTGATGCGTGCCACATGCTCAATCGCGTTCTGGAACAACACCAGAGACATTGGCTTGCTTGTCATGGCGTTGTGGTCTTCGAGGTAGTCTTCCATTGTTTTGACGAGCGTCTCTTGGTCTTCCATCTCTTGGTACACCTGCAATCAAAGCATCATCCCGTGGCTTGCTTGAAGATGGGAATGCCTGGGCAAGTTTGTTGACGTGCTACTTGGGTATCCAGCATTGTCATGTGCATATCGGGCGTACATTGGATTCGTGGTAGTTTGGTGAATGTTTGGAAAACTCACCGGGAGATGGTTGCGAAGGTGTACCGATTCAGGTAAAAGTCAATCGACGGATACCTTGCGAATCGGGTCCTCCTTAACACTCTCCACCCACAGAATTTACCCTCAACTGGGAACCTCTTGTGGCCAGTATGGGTAATTCGATGGAAGTGTCGCAAGGTTCTTTGTAGCATCGACTCGAAGAGGTGTTCTCAGGACTGAAACACATTGTGTCCATGGGAAAATGTCCAAGTCAGGAGAAAAAGTGTGCACCCAAGGAAATTCGAACCAGTATCCTGCCGCTGACGCCATATGCGAAGGTGTACCGATTCAGGGATTCAGGTAAACGCCAATCGACGGATACCTTGCGAATCGGGTCCTCCTTAACATGGTACAGTTGCACGAACATTAAATTTTCATGAGGCGAAATAGTAGACATCACGGCCTCCCGCTTTTACAACACCAAGTGGCAACAACTGAGGGTGGTTGTTTTCCCTACGGTGGTCGTGGTGCCTTTCAGCAGACCTATCGCTACATACATCTCACCATGGATGCAGCCCATACCCGCACACGATAGTGTCTGGGTCTTTCGGCCCATTCGAGCTATTTGGTGATTTATGCGCATGAAACGTCCAAACGGCCTAGTAGGTGTTAATAAAGATAAGCTGGTCCGAAAGCTCGTTGCCCTCGAAAGTCTCTCCCCTCACCTTGCCACCTTTCGGATCGCTGAAGTTTCCGTACAGAAGAACCTCATTCTTCCCCCGAACCCGGTTTTCATAGTCCAGCCCGAAGTGCGCTTTCACCTGGACGTCGTCACGATATCAGTGCCAGTGCTACGCTTGACACCATTGAAAGTGTGATACGCAGCCACACTTACCGTTGCATAAATTGACGATTACACCCTCCCAAAAGACGCGCAATTGATTGTGCGCCTGCGATATTTATCTATCCCAGGTGTACACACAGCGAAACATCAACCACGTAGGTTACCTTCTCCTCTAGCATGTGGTTGAACCAAACCCTGTCGCTGTCATCCACCAGCCGGTCATGGAAGATACGCAAACACTCGTGGCTCCACAGGCGGACGAACTGCTCTTTCTCGGAGATAAGGTTTGCGCTACCCTGGAGCACTCCCTGCCCGGCCGAGGAGTGAAAGGGGCCACATACAGGTGTGCCAATTAAGGTGTGGATGGAGATGGTCCGGTGCGTGACAACAGAGGTGGCGTTTTTCTGATGGACCATGCCGATGTGAGGCAAGATTCCGAGCCCTTACCTGAAACACCTTGGAGAGATCCCGCAAGTTGAAAGTGTAGTGACTCTTAGCGGGTGTCGGCAGCAGGTTGTCGGCGATTGTGTTGTAGATGTCGAGCGTAGCCGTCACCATGTTTGCAGCAATCTATCAATCAGTGCAGCGGGCAATGAAGTCGGGTTTCAGACAAATATTTATCGGTGGGTCAACTCTCAAGCTTGTGCCCGAAATCTGTTCGGCCTATCGCAAAACCCATCTTCGTTAGCTTAGCAAATCCAAGTGCTTCTAGGATAGACCACGCTCGTCAGCAGTCGCAAGGACACAGGAAATAGGGCATTGGCAACACCGTACCTCTAACCATAGAAGTGGTTCACCTGCTTGACGGCAGAGGTAAACCCGCGCTGAAGGAACCATTCCAATATCGTGCCGAACACCCGCTGTAGCGACTCGTTGCTGAATGGCACGAAGTTGAGGAGATTGAAATGACGTACGTAGCGTTGGGTGATGCTCGTGCGCCCTCCACCCGGCGGGCCCATCGCAGCGACAAACTGGACGTCGACAAGTTGGCGGAACGTATTCTCCTTGCGATCGTACCATCCTCCATGGTCCATCCACTGCCGCAAAATTTCGATCGGTGGCTGTGCGCCGTACGTCTCCTTAGCGGGCATGTTGAGGTCGTCGACGAAAATGATACATGTCATCCCTAGCGGAGGACCAAGCACGCCCTTGCGACGTTTGTCGAGCTTCGAATCGATCGTGTCTTGGGTCTTTTGGGGGGAAGCAAGGCACAAGGGGCGAGGAGGAGTTCATGGGGATTTTGGTCGTGTTCCAACGCAGCGTTTGATGGGCATTGGGAGACTGTCCAGGTTTCCGGACGCTGGGACAACAAAGACTGTCGATTCATCATGATGGGCGCCCCGCCCCCGCAACAGCCTCTTGAAAACGTCTGATTAGTGGCGCAGGAGCTCTTTGGCGAACGACCACATCACGCGTTTTGTCGCCGTTCGATGACAAGGCACACCTGGTTCGCGGAGGTCTGTGCGGAAAAATTCAGCATGATCGAGCTGAACTTTGGCCCCATGCCAAACAGGAGTTTCTTCTTCGCTGTCACCGACTTTCCCGTGCCGGTATCACCCGTGCACAGCACGTGATGACCATGGACCACCAAGCTGTGAATGAGAAACTCGTTCCGCACTGTATCCATCGTCGGAACCACAATGCTGTTGAAGGTCGCGTCGCGAGGAATGACAAACTTGTCGGCCTGTTCACGGGTGCGGAGGATGGTAAACGCTTTCGTTAGTTATCCTAGTATTTACTTTCAATGGTCACGCTTGTGTTGACTGAACCACCCGGTCGCAACCCTGCTCCATGAGCATCTCGGCCGCTCACCGCATCGAGCCACGGCTGCCACTGCCCCTTCTTGGAGTCAAAGCGGAAATCGTAGAGCAGTCTGCCGTCATCTGGGGGAAGGAGAGCGATGGGCCTATCGCGTGCGACCCACGATCTGTTCTTCAGTAGGAAGTCTTGATGGGCTTCGCTTCCTTCCAGGCCCTTGTCCTCCATGACCATCCGGAGATACTCTCCGAACATCTGCCTGCCCTTCCTGTCCACGCAAGATCCTACAGACCAGATCAAGGCCTTAACGAAGATGCACTCCAGAACCTTGGTCATGTCCGACGCAAAGCCGTCAGGCGAGTCCAGCAGGACACCCACAAGCCGAATGAGTGACGCCGCGAGCTCCTTTACAAGTACGATCACGCCGGTACGACACCAGCGACACGCACATAGTCAGAACAGACGCGACAGTCAATCTATGCTTGGGGGCGCACACCAAACAACCTTATCGCAACGTCTAGCGCCGGGTGGATATGTCATGCGCCGCGAAAACGTTTCTGTACCCTGGCGCTTGCGAGAAGCATCTCCACAAAAACACACGACATGTGACCAGTAGAGGCAAGAGCACAATCGGACATTGCAAGAAAAGTACTAAATATCCGAGTCAGTTTGCTCAGATTGGTCTCACCTGGCCCGTGACTGGCGTAGGAATCACGCATTGCTTTTGCACGAAGTAAAGTGCAGCCGGGAAAAGCCAGTCGAAGAGACCCACGATGAGTGGACGGTGCTCTTCAAACGTAACAGGTAGGCTGAGAAGCCACACATCCCGCAAAGGCTGCCAATCGAGGTTCCGAATCTCGCAGAATATCATGCCGACGCGACTAACGGTCGCCGGAGATGCCTGTTCGAGATCCTCAGCTTCGAACATCATCGTCATGGAGTCACTCATCTTGACAATCTGCGAGAGGAGAGGAGTGTATTCAGGTACATTGGAAAGTTAACGTGTTTGCGAGTTGATTACTCCAAGCCAACTAAGTTCACACGTTGGGGGCGAAAAATTGTGATCTGCAAAGTTGATGATCGGAACTTGTGTTTTAAATATCCTTCGTAGCCATTTTCGAAGCGTCTCACCTCGCCACTCATAAGACAGAGCTTTTTGTTGTCATCCAACACAGTGTTCATATTCTCGATCCACACAGCATCCACGGGCCCGTCGAACATCAGCCATTTACGATCGGGAGATGGGTCCTTTGAGCAGTTACGGTATATCACGGCCAAGATTCCATCGCTCCACTCGTGGGTGCTGTCGTCGAAGTTCCCGTACAGCTGCCCGCTGGAAATCGACTTGGGGTTCATTGTGTGCACCTGGAGTTGCAACGCGAAAGCAGATGCCCAATGGTAAATAATAACAGGTGACGACATATTTTCTAGTAGGTTCGATACTACGTGCACAATATATGGTGTAATACGACCCCACTGCTGCAACACAAATAGATACATACCTGGACTCGAGCAAAGTCCGTAGAACCCTCATCTGAGCACCGAGACATGGCTTGGGCAAGCGTATGGACCGTTGTGGTCTTTCCAGAGCCGGTTTGACCGACGATCATAACCCCGTGCCGCACAAGAACCATTTCGTAGAGCTGGATGACCTTCTTCCTCCATGATGGCTTCGGCATCAGCTTCAGAAGTTGTCCCGGAGAGATGGTGATGCCCTCCTCGCACACGGAATCGATACCCTGCAGGAGAGGTCCATGATCTGACTCGCCGAGTTCCACACCAGGGAACAGGTCGCTCGTGATCCCCTTGAACAGCGGCAAGTCTTCGACGGTAAACTTGGGAAGGTTGATGTCGTTGACAGACCTGAGCACGAGTCGGGCTTCGGTCCAGCTAGGGTCATCACCTAGTTGCTGGCGGAGATTTCCGGCGGCCACCTGCGACATCCAACATGAAATACGGAGGACCCCCAGGTTATATTAAGTGAAGCTGTAGCGGGGGCTGTGATACGTCGTGCGATAGATTATGTACTGTCGAGTTTGCCACCGATATATCGTCAAGCAACAATTCTTTTGTGATTTTGGCTGGCATCCCGTGCGATTGTGGCTTGACAACGGGCCAACTACCACAATCTTGTGAAGACCTACCAGGATGGAGTTGACTGCGCGCATCCCGTAGTCGTAGTGCTTTTGGCTCGAGAGTTGTTCAGAGCACAGCTGGAGAACCCGAACTAGCTTCTGCGCGTTCTCTCGCGCGTCTTCAAAGCCGAAGGAGTAGAGCCGAATCTCCGAGATCAGAGAGTAGTCGGGAACCATCATGGCGCAGGGCCGAAATAAGGCCTTGAGGTTGTCTGGGAGCTCCGCTCGGCCGGCGTACCCAGGGTTCATGGTAATGAAAGCGTTGGCGTTACTGTTGATCTTCATGAAGGTTCCTTCGAAGTGGAACTTCTCCACGCCTGCCTTCTTCGCCTTATTGATGGTCAAGATCTGTTGCGCGATTACACTAAGAACCTGCCGTTGTTGCCCCCCGACCGAACCAACGCGGAATAAGCACATGCACAGGACGGGAGCTCGGCGTTTTGCTATTGTTTAACGAGAACACTCTCGTAATATCATCGTGTCATCAGAGTAACAATACAATAGTAGGTGGGGCACCCGATACAGGTGTCGACCTACAGTGTTGCACCGCTCTTACCTCTATGTTGATGCGGTTAAACTCGTCGAAGCAGCACCAAGAGCCGCAGCCAGCCAAGCCCTTGAAGAACTTGGCCATAGCCAGGTAGTCCAATCCGTCAGAGCAGTTGAACACAACACACTGCACAAGCACAGCACCATGGGTTGCAAACATACCACAAGGCGACGAACCGGGAAATCAAATTACTTCTTGAAAGATACCGGTACCGTACCTGACTCGACTATCATCTGTGGATAACGTGTATACCCGACGTTTGAACAAATGTCACGTGTTACGATTTCCCATCCCAATCCTGGCGTCTTAACGTTAAGGAGGCACGATCACCCAACCAAACCCAAACGAGCGCCTAGATAATCCAGAGCAAGTGACGAAAAGATCAACCTCCGGTAACTAGTCGGTGGTGGGATAATAGAACCAACAGAAAATAAGACAAATGTACGGAGGAACGGCGATAGCGGGATAAGGCACGTGTGTGTTTCTACGGGCAGAGTCCATGAGGTCTACTACTCGATACAGCTGGACTACCTTAAAGTACTACCTGAATGGCAACTGCTTTCGACAAGTCCTTCACAGTTTCGGTCTTTCCAGTTCCAGCCGGGCCCTCAGGAGCTCCCCCGTAAAGCAAGTCGATGGCACCGATCATTGTTCGGTAGCATCGATCTGTCAGAGGCGTGATGACAAGACGCATCGTGTTGCCCAAGTACTCATACCCGTACAAGCACTTGGCGTTCACGATGCGAGCCACGAGAGTGCTGTCCCCTTTCTTGACGGCTTGGCCGTCTTTCCACGCTTCCACCCAGTAGTACCGAAGCTGGCTCATCCAGTCGAAGTCATCCTCGTGTGACACTCCGGCTTCGATCATTTTAACGACCGTGTCTCTAGCGTGGACATCGATGGTGCACAGTGCTCCCAAAGTTTTCCTCTCCAAGCTCGAAAGACGCCCTCGCACGAGCACAGTGATGCTGCGCAGCTGTTGGTTGAGCGATTGAACTAGTTCTTCGAGTCCCTTCACTCCGCCGTTTTTGATTGATGTCGCTACATCCTGGGTCCAGAACACCTTTACGAAACAGGAAAAAGCCATCAAGTGAACAAATCATTGGAAGGCGTTTGCGTGGAATCCGCGCGCCGGAATAGACAATCCGGTGCGTTGAAAGGATGTTGTCTGTTTTTCACCACCATGACTTCGGAATAGTGTCAAGGTCTACTTCGTACATTTGTTCCTACGTCAGAAATCCAAAAGCACGGGCGTCTTACATAATTGCAATAAGAAAACGGCGGCGATATTCAAATGAAAATCGGGACTGCACTTGAACGTGGTGATTCGGTGTCACTTCTCATTTCGTGGCCGGCACGTCATGCGTGTCCTTAGTTGTTGGCGTACCAGACCCCACGCTTCTAGCAACAAAAATCTTCGAACAGAGGCGTAGCAGTCCCACCTGGCTGACCCCAAGAACCGCTTGCGCCGGCCAGTTGAGGATCCACTCCTCTCGTGGAATTGTGGGGTACTCGTTAAGCGACAAGGTGACCTGTGTTCTGACCGACTGCCATTGCATGGCCTCCAGTTCCAAGAGCCACCGCTCAACATTCCCCTTGTTGGTCGCACTTTCCGGGTCCACCGCACTGTCCAGCACGACTGTCTGTAGATAGTATGGAAGGACCGATCGATGCATTGCGCGCGTTACGCTTATGATTGTATGGCAAGAACTATTGATTCGGTTGAGTTAGTAGCTATTCACGCCTACAATGCCTGAGCTTCCGTAGGTCCAATTCGTTCGCGATCGCGAGTCAAACGCAGACTCACAACGTACATGATTGTACGTTGAGAGCATAACCTACCTCCCCTTCAGCGGACACCATCTCTGTGATCTTCAGATCCTCCTCGAATTTGCATTTGGCGATTCCCTCAAAGGCCTTGTTCAAGTGTGGCTGGACAGCGCGCGGTTCCTTCGTCTGTGATAGGATTTCTAGCAACTCGTCATTCGACAAGAAGAAAAACCTTGGAAAGTACAATCGCTTCATCTCCAGGTAGTCGCTCAATCCCTGGATGGGGAGGGAACAATAAGGAAAGGTGTGCCAGAGTAAGCTCAAAACCACTAACAAGGAGTTGTTTTACGGATGCTCGCACTCTAAACGCAACAAATTGAATTCGATAGCGGTATGCATGTATGCCTACCACATGCATCGTTTGGAACGCGGGGTGGTGTCGATCTCGCAGCTTCGTCGGCGAGATGTTCAGAGCAGCAACACTACGTGATTCGGACTGATCGACACCCTTCGCCATACCAGATTGGCTTCGAACAACTACCTTTTGGATTTCTTCTAGCTTCTGGTTGGCCGCCTTGAACTTCTCTTCCAATTTCTTGTCGACGTCAGCCTGGGCCATGAAGTTGGGGTCCTTGTTCGTTTCTTCCATGGTCTACGTTCGAACGAGGGGTGGGGCGGGCGGAAAACGTATCCATGAGGGGTCGGGCTTGTGTCATCTCGGCGAGGTAGCGATCGAACTTCCTTCGTACAACAAGTGTTGCGAGACTGCGCCATCCGTGAAGTCCCAAAGCGCGAAACAGGACTTATACCGGTGCACCATCGAAAAACCTCGAACAATCGTCCCGCATCCACCTTCTCGTTCCTCTCTTACTACCCTCTGCACTCGATATTTGCTGCTCCCCCCCCCACCCAAAAGTATGTCACCCGTTCAGCATGTCTGTCCAGACTTCTCCCTACGGCTACCTTTTTCCACAACTGGTCGACGCTGTTGAACCTTCGGGCCTCGGTGGGAAGTTGTCGCATGATGTCCTCCGATGAAAAAATCGGCTCTAGGTACAACCAAGTCCTTTGGCAGCTGATCCACTCGTCCACCAGACCTTGGGCATACTTCAGGCGAAACTCCCATGCCTGCTCCAGCCGCCAGCGTGTGTGTGGGCACGGACCATGAGGACAGGTCTCGTTGGTATAAGCTGTTAAATTTCCTTTTTTCAGTACCTGTTGAGGGAACAACAACGAGTAGTATTCGTACCTTGTACAATTGAAGTTCACGCTAAGAGCTTGTCTCACCTTGCATTCAGCTTCAATGGGTAGGATGTACGGAGATCCTCGCATGGTCTGGGTCTTGACGATGTGGTCGTCGAGGAGCGTGACAATCTCGTCGACGCCAGACACGAGGAAGGTCCCCGTCTCCTTGTACGGTCGCACCTCGAACTCCAAGCTCGCCCACTCCTCCTTCATAGCTGCCAGTGCCTTCTCCAACCCGTACTCCTTCTCCGCAGCGACGCATACCTGCACCATCAGTCCACAAAGCACGGATTTCATTCCACGGATTCGCACACGATACGTCCGTGTACTCGGGCGAAACCACAACAGAATGCAACGGAGTATTTTTGGTGTTGGTCATAGGCCGAAATAGACCTGCAGCTTGCTGGACTTACCTCGTGGATTGTCTCGATGTGCTGCCCAACGTTTGTGTCTACCAGCTGCTGCAACGTCAACTCCTCGTCAGGCTCGATGGTGCTTCCGGTCTTCTCGCTCAAAGTCTCCCAGTGTCGCGATTTCAATGCCGGACTAGCCAGGGCCTGACATACGTGGGAAATCAGCCACCATGAATGACGGAAGGTGGCGAGATACGTTCTACAACGAGCTACCATGTATCTCGTAGACCCATAGTATACAGTGGGAAGAAATGGGCCTATCATCAGACATCGATGGATCTTTTGACAATCCTATTTCATGTAATGTAGTTACAATGCCACGGAATGTGCCCCACATCAACGTTGTCCTGCGAAACAATGACTGACTGTGCAACGCAACAGGTTGTGACGTGACGGGTACGTGAGTGTCACGATGGCTTCACGCACGCGTCTGGGTACGCTACACGTCCCATTTGCAAGTACACTCAATTAACCGATGTGCATGAACTTGTTCAATAAAGTCACCTGAATAACGGGAAGGTGCTCCCGGAAAGCGGTAGTATCCTCTCTCAGTTGAGCGGCACACTCAGCAGCGGCCGGGAACTCATCCTCCAGCGATTTGCTCAAGCGGTAGGAACTCTTCCACCAGTCCGTGACATCGCGCTCGATATCGGCGCCGTCAAGATCTGACCATCAGAAGTTACAGATGGCGAAGGCGGGCTTAGGTGGTGCACATTTATGTCATCTGGCACGCAATGATATCGGCGGCGTCAAGAGTACCGAGGATACGCAGGCAGCTGCGTACACGCACCAAGAAAAGAGCCGTGAAGCCATTCCTTTCGGCTAGCGTGGAAGTCAGAGATCATGTTCCATAGCTTGAAGAAGGGTTCCAGTTCCTCTTCGACTTTTCCAAGCATGTGGTACTCCGTCGGGGGAAAGCCGAAGATCTGGTGGGAGCATTGAATGGCAGATGAAGAAAGATGTCTTGAGTCGCGAAGTGCACTGCGTGGTATGCAGGGTTGCGACATGGTATCTGACTACCTCCGTCCAGGGCCATGAAACGTCATGACTTGCCATATCGGCGTTGATATAGATCTTTGGCTCACTAGCAGAAATGGCCCAAGTGAAGTCCCACCCGGGGTAGTTTCTAGATGAAGCAGTCGTCACGAAAAAGTCTCATGAGGAAGGATGATGTTCATCAGCAACACGGCAAGGAGCCTTGGTCACCTTTTCTCGCGAATTAAAATCCTCAGCCTTAGCCTTGGCGTCGTTGATGGCGTCCTGGATGCTGTTCACGTAGTCGGTGGTTGTTTCCTGCCACAGGAGCACCAGAGCACCGAAGACAAACGCCGATGAATGTATTCAGACGTACGTTTTGGTGCGCATCTTCTATTTTTCGAGTGTACCGCTGCTCAAGTGGGTTTGACTAGGCATGGATATTATTAACTGAATCTACAGGAGCAAGTCCAGCTCGCCCACCATTTGAGAGTAGTCGCCACACTGCTTGGCTTGAGCGACGTCCACCTCAAATCGCTCCAAAATTTCTTCGAACGTCTCCATCTCTAGGGCTAACTTGTCCATCATCCGCACCTGTCGTGAAAACGGTGCGGCGAGTTTTGTTCAGGACAACGTGAGCAAGGCGCGCCTACTAGCTTCAAGAGGACGAACATGATGACACTCCTTGCACGTACTGTGTATAAGCCTTTGCTCACCTTGTCGAGCTCCAAAGCCTCCTCGGCTTTGTTTGCGGCAAGATCGACCATCTGATGGGCGCAGCAAGGGTCGGCACGGCGAAGAGATCGGGTCAGCATACTCAGTACGCAGCTATCGAAGGGTCTAGTGGAACCGCTTTCTTTGTTGAAAAATACAAGTACTTTCGCCCCGTAGTACTTCCTGCAAGCAATATCATTTACCAAGCTGCTTTCAATATATTCTACCGGTTGTGTCCCGAAAGGAAACTGCCTCCTACGCTCGTCCATTGCCACATTGGGTTTTGCAGATCGTGGAGTTAGAGCCGCCCTTTTCCCTCGGCTAGTGGTACGAGCCGGGCCACGAATCAGTGAGTTCAGACCTGCTGGATACTTTTTCAGAAGGCAACAGGGACCGACTTTTCTCGATTCTAGCCTCACTGCAGTCTTTAATTTGAGATAATCGGCGCTCAGCACTGTTCGTGTTTGGTAAGGGAGTAGACTTTCAGGTCCATACGACGTAGCCTTCGCCAGGGCGAATATGATCACACTCATTTGTGCCTATACTAGGTAAAAGACTGCACGCTGGCTGCATCTGAGGGGTCGACTGCATGTGTTGTATTGTAGTTGCATATTTCGCGGCTTTACCAAAAGCTTCTGACCGCCAAGACACGGTCCAACAGACCCACTAACAGGGTGTAGTCATGAAATGATCAAGTGCCTCACCGTAGGGTAGTCCATCGTTTTCCAGGAGAGGCGAATGTCCTCTTCCGACATGCGGTAGTTGAAGTCGCCCAATGTTCCGAGGCGGGCGTGTACTCTCTGGACCTCCAGAATCAGAGAGGATACCTGAGTCGTTGAAGGATTCGCACTGCGTCAAGTTCTGATCCTCTATGCAAAGCAGGATCCTCAGAGATAACTTGTAGAAGTGCAACCCTCGTGACCGATTATACGAATCAAAGGTGAAACCGCCAGGGCATGAAAATGCTACCCTTACTTTCGGCAAAGGCGACTAACATTCCGGGACAAGCAGCAGCATGCATACGTCAAAGAGTATTTCTCGACTATCACACCGCCGAAGAAAAGTTGTAGCCTGCAGTTCCGAATACTGTACCGCGCCAAAGATTAGCAACGCACCGTCTCTTTAGAATCCGCAATGAACGCGCGAAGCGCAGCCAGGTCCGCCTCGTTGGCAGGTTTCTCCGCGATTCTTGACAGGATTGCATTATAGCGAGATATTATATCGTTGTTTTGCTCCCGCGCTTTCGACACGAGGGATTCGAGCAAAGCATCCCTCACCTCCAGGGCTTTTTCCATCAGTACCTGCGAACGAGGCGACCGCGGCAGGCAGGCGCCAAGGCGGGTACCGCCACACGACCTTTTCTACTCGGAACGTTTGTGTGGGCAAGGAAAATATGTAGCACCCAAAACAAGTAGCCGTCGTTCATTTCGACGGCTGGTTGACGGCTTCCAAGACGAGTATATCACCTTTGTCGCCTCAGAGGTATCCACGCGAACGAGTTTGAACAGCTCACACGTCAGCGAGCAGCTCCCGATTGCCACGGACGCGTCGTGGAGCTCGCGGACTTTGGCGAAGTACTCCTCATCGGTAGGGGCTGGTGTTGCCTCCGTGAACGAGTACACGAACTCTTCGGTGTCGATAGCCATCAGGTGGCAGTACTTGCCGTACTTCGCTGCTAGTTGCACGGCACCTTCCATTCCTCGAGCTACCCGTTCTCTGGCACACACGCGGGGGGACGAAGAGCATGCGAATCACAAGCCTGTGCCACGCGATCTGTCTGTCTGTCTGTGTTTCTTTCTCTCTCTCTCTCTCTCTCTCTCTCTCTCTCTCTCTCTCTCTCTCTCTCTCTCTCTCTGTGTGTCTCTCTCTCCCTCTCATCCTCTCGGTCTGTCTCTCATGCAAACGCAGCTGCAGCACACGTCAGTTGCGGGTGCGCCCATATACCGAAAAAAAAGCGCGGCAGAGCAAGCCAAGGGTTACTCGTTCTGGACGAGAGTTCTTCGCAACGCACCGGGTGTAGCGCTTTGTCTCGTCCAGTGCCGATTCTTCTTCCACGTATGTGCCGTCGTTGGCCCCGATGTTGAAAATTGGTCGAGGGCTAAGATGCAAAAGGGACATGAGGTCCGCATCGATGGTGGCCAAACCCTGACGGAAAAAAACGAAGGCGAGCTGGAATGCTTAATTTTACAGGAAGCCAATCCACGGTTTGTTCATGAGGCCCGGCCATGGGTGGATGTGCGTACATCAAACAACACCAGACGGGTGAAGCGCGGGCAACATACTTTCCTCATGAGGTAACGTACTGAAACAAATGCCCTATGACATGTCCAGCGCAAAGCACGGACGTACGCCTCTGATCCATCCGTTATTGCTGCATGGGAAAATTTTACGAGCACGAGGCGTCGACGGCAGAGATGCAGAATCAGGCATGGGACGCAAACAAATGGCCCTTGATTGCCGCTCTCAGTTTCTTCAAAAAGCTCGTTCCACAGAATGGTGACACAACCGGGACTGCGTTTTCCCCGGTTTCTTCCGCGATTGCGACAATCCCTGTGGCATGCTATAGCATACATACCTTGATCGCTGTGACCACATCATCCACGATTTGTATGAGGGCGCTCTCGATTTCCGGGCGGCCAGGCACGATTGACACGCCGTAGTTACCCCCGCCTTCGGTAACGACCTTGAGCTGGACATCGAACAGCGGCACGCTTCCGGCAGCTTCAGTGTTCACCTCCACCGAGTCAGGAGTGTGCTTTCCCACAAACCGTCGCCATGCCAGCAGCGATTCCTTTTAGCCACGGGGCATCACGACGTCCGCAACGCTTAGAGGTGGAACAGCCCCGGAGTGGACCGGGAATGACTTGTGACGGATCGCGGAGAATGTACCATTTCAAGGATGACAAAAGGGTACCAGGGAAGCGGCAAATACCTCCTAAGAAGGCTATTAGTGGAAATCCGTCTTCAAGCCCTCACGTAAATACACCAATTCGACGACTTGAAATCTCCGTCACCTTCCTACTACTATCCATGATCGGATGGGCAAGCGAGACACAAGTTCTCCCCCGTTCGAATCGCCACTCACAATGAACGATACCCTCAGCTGAGAGTTCATCCGGAGCTCCAAATGCTTCAAGAGACGATACAGCGATGACAAGGTGAACAGACAAGCATCGCTTTGGAAGAAATCGTAGATGTCTTGAACAGAATCGACCAGCTGCTCCGAGAAAGCGCGCCGCCAATCCTGCGCCAGACGCTCTCCAAGGCGTGTGCAGCACTTTGACTGCTCAGCAACAAGGCAAGGCGAGAAGACATCAGAAACACGTTATACATTTCACGAGTGCTTCCGAATTGGACCTGTAGATGTACAACAACTACGGAAGGATATATCATGCGCAAGCGGGGGGTAAAGTTCATGCAGCAGATACGCGAGAGCAACAGCAACCTCGCCTTAGATGAGTATCTAGATCGCCGTACAATTCCTGGGTAGCAAGCCGACCAAGCTGTCCCACACACATGGGATTGCAGCAGTTTCTACTGGATACGTGTTTCAGAGTGAACTGCAATACCGGGGTCCAGGACGACCATGCATGACGACAATCATCCCAGGCACGCCGCTTAAGCACGGCCAATGCCTCCAAGTTGGTGAAGGTCTGTCATCAGCGTACCCAACATGGGTGACGAAAGTGACTTGCCTGGATCTTGCAAAATTCGTCAACGTTGCACGGAAACTCTAGAGACTTAAGCTCAGTGTCCGTGAACCTCTCCTCCAAGAACACTCCTTCCCACACTTCGTAAAGCCAAAGGAATGCTTGAAGAACCTGGAGAGGTGGGTACGCAACGTCACGACAGGTGGCCATCAGTGTTGTAGACGGACACAGCGTGCATATCAAGAAGCACGAGCATGAGCAGGAAACAAGGCAAGCTAGCCGTGCACACCAATCACCTCGGGCAAGCTGCTGTAGTGGATGTTGCCCATCGCCTTTCGCCTGTCAACGTACCGGTGCCCTGGGATGCTGATCTTTGCTGACCAGGGTATAGGGCTCGCTTCAGGTACCGGGGGTAGTCCGAGACTAGAGAAGCGTTCTTTTTCAACCTTCGAGTGCTCCAACTTGTAGAACAGGATGCTCTTCTTCATTGATCTTGTGTGCTGTTGGATAACTTCTTTTGTTAAGCCGCGGAGTAGGTTGCCCAATTGTGTTCCTTGCTGCGGAAACGCTACATCCAATGGCAAACCATCAGCGACTTTTTCATGAATGCCTCGTATTGTTGAGCCCTGAATTGCTCGGACTTCCTCCATTGGTTGTTGCGACACAAAATAGTCAAAGCGAAGGCGCTTCTTCGCATCGTCCCGCGAGGCTTTCGCGGTCTCACGGCAGGATTGCCACGCGCCTCTGTTTTCAGCGTCGAAAAGCAGATTGAAACGTTTCACCTCCTTTTCGAGCCCATTGGGGGTGAACTTCACTCGATACTTATTGGTGGTTGAATCGTATGACAGGACGGAGCAGCGCCTCCACTGCCACTCATCTCCTACATAGAACGGGGCCATTGCACCACTTCCAGACTCAAGCCAGGAAGTCTGGACACCGTTCGCATCGGTGTCCTCGACACCATTAAAGATCTGTGGAGGGACGTTAAATACACCAGAACAAGGTATTCAGGGTGGAGAACTTGCTGATTTTCATCGCCAGGTGTGGTATTTGTATGAGCCACTTGGGAAGGTTGTCTTCTGACTCTTTGACCTCCGGAACATATCATGAAGGTACGAAATATGTTTTATTTAGTCACAACCTTCGGGTCACAAAAAAAGGGATGCTCCCGCTCAAAGCTACGTTGTCCAGGTACACGTATATGAAAACCGCTACGTACACATCCAACAATACATCCACACATTACATGTGAAGCAAACTTCAAAGCTTGAGTACATAATAGCGCACCAACCAACTATCAGGGCTGCCTTACTTTGAGTCTACCGGTAGCCCGAGCTACAGGAGGAGTACGGGATACGCAGTAGACGTCTGTTGGGTCCTAAGGAAATTTATTGTACACAGCAGTACCACCACAAGCAAGCTCAATCCGGGACAGATATAGGCCACATGAGGTACACGAGGTCAATTACGGAACAAAATAAGACAGTTTGTTCTTGAGAGTACTGCAATGGATACGACTGCACCAGCTGTGCCGTGTTTGACTACGACCGCCCAACAGCAAGCAGCAGACGACGCGTACCTCGAGTGGCAGTTTTGACTGATCAAGGGCCAAAAACGTGTTCTTCATAAGCAATGGAGCAACTTCTTTCTGCTTCTTGACCGCGTCATAGCCTCTGCGCTCTGCCCGAGTGTCCGCAGCCGCCGGTAAGTCGTCTTTCCTTCGTGTCTTTCCGGTGTTGGAGCTCTGGGCGAACATCGCCACTGGGCTGTCGGACGGAATGCTGACAGGCCGCACATCGCCGGGGAAACGCCGTACTGGTTCTGGCTGGCGATTCTGTGAAATACGGGCTCGCTGCACAGCTTCAACTCGTCTTGTGGAAGCCGATTTCCAGTCCTTCCGCATGTTGTTGATATCCAACATCATTGTCCCGCCGTTTTTGGTGGAGCAAGGATCAAACTTTAGCGCTTGGGCTCCCCGAGCGTCTTCGTGGCCGAGTGGTATTGCCGACTTGTGCCCTGGTCGCGTGCCCTTCACGCGATGCCGTATCCAGTCGGGTACTGGCCGATCAGGGACGAGTTGAGAAACATCAAACGACGCACCGGCAGTTGCAGGGTTCTGCCTCCTTCGTTTGTGTTGCTTCAATCTGGCGGTAAGACTCGTGTAGCTTGTGTCGGGGCTCATGATGTCGTCGTGGTATCAACCTGCGTCGTTTGTGCCAACGAAGGCCCTTCGTTCTTTATGTGCCTTCGTCCCGTGCATCTATCACAAACAACAAAGGAACAACACCGCGTCGTACACAGCACACGCCGCGCTCGCTAAGAGCGACGTGCGAACGCGCGTTCGCATAAGGTCGACAGGTAGTCTCTGTGGTCCTGATCGGTTTCAAACACCCCGCCTCTTTGGTTCTGTTGAAACCCTTGAAACCACGGTGCCCCTCCGCCTCAGCAGCTAAGTGCCCTGTGCTACCCTCTAGTTGCTCGTGCCCGGCCAACCTCCTGAGGGTGCGGTCGATCAACTCTCGGACGATGGAAACTACGCTAACCTTTTGTGCAGATCTACAGGGGTTGCCCGCAGATGCTTCCAATGCTCAGCTCAAGACAATTCATGGCGCTCTCACAAAGCAGGTAGGTTGTAGGGTATATTATCTTGAGTAATTCACAGAGCTGAGATAATCCGCACGTTTCCTGTGTTTTCAAGAGAGCCTGTAGTGCACAATGAGGTTTAAGAGGGAATCGCGCGATGCTGCTGCAGTGGTGACACAACTTTCTGTCATGATATTTTGCACTCAACAGGGAGATGCTCTGCAGGAGGTGGCAAAAACTTTTTCTCAAACGACGGACCAAGATGGTGGTGTGGCGGCGGCCAACAGCCCTCTAATCGCAGCAGCTATGGAGCACACCAAGCTGGCATCTCTCGGCAGCCTGCATCTTCTGTGAGTTGACAAGAACGCCTGCGGTATCCTGCTCGGTACGACACAACATTCCTGAACCTCTGTACATCATTGGCCAGCTTGCTTTGTACATGTGACCGGAGTTGAAATTTCTGGAGCCCTGTCTGGAGTACATAAAGACTTCTGCACTGATGCTGTACCTTTTGCATAAACAGCTCGCTGCACCTGCCTCTCGCCCTGTCTCCTTTCTCAGTGCCGCCCAGGCAGAGGTACTCACCCCGCAAGAAGTGCCTGCGTTCATTGACGTGACTCTGGCCTTCCTGGAGCACTGCAACTGGCACCAGGTCACGATCGCGCCGAAACACCGTGAGTGGAAAAGGAAGCAAGGCGGGCTAACTGTAACAGCAGCCACAGCGGAACAACCTCATACATGTGGTTTGTAGTTTGATGTTCTCTCTTTTGGGGATCTGGTACTCATCAAGTACCGTCCTGATAGTACACTTGAAAATCCAATGCTTCACATAGGGCATCCACAACATGGGTTTCAAGAGCGAAAGTGTTTACCGCAGAGAAGTGTCCGTCCTTGCTTCATGGCGGCATGTTTGCAACTGAAACACATGTCTCCTTTCAGAAGCCTCACCCTCGCTCTCGTGTTTGTACCTCGCGCTGTTTAGTCGGCAGCGTATGCAAAAAGTTTGGCCAAGTGTGCATCTCGGAGGGGAGGGCATCAGAGGCGCTCTTGCCGTTGCGAAGTGCTGCAATCAAGATGGACGGTGACAGGTCAAGCCTCACGCCGCTACACCCAGAGTTTCTGCAGGTTAGCTTGATCTTAAGCGTGTACCACATAAATAGCGTTCAACTTGTGTACTTGGCGATTCCATTGTAAAAGGTACTCCTGGTCGATTACGTGCTTGGCTGGCGGCCCCGAAGGGTGATTGCCGACATACATACATCCGGACACACACTGACAGCATCGCCTTTTGAAACGGCAGTGGCGTGGGGTGGGCTGTCTTGAAGTCGTTTTCTGCACTGGTGCAAATACGGCCGGAGTCGTATGTAATGCAAAATCAGTTCGCGATTGTCACCCTCTTTCCCCCGCTACCTCGCGGGGAGAGGAAGAGAGACGTCCTGGTGTCAAAGTAGATCCAGGCCTCAGACGTAAATTCCGTCTATGTCATGATACCCTGCTCCCTGCGTTCGCTGTGGCGTCGGCTACACCGCGAGGCCTGAAGCAAAAAATGCGGCTTCTGTCCACTTGTCGTGGCCTTCTCCTCCTTCGTTATGTCGTTGATTTCGTAGATCATCAGCCTGATCATAGCCATGCGTGCGGTCCAGCGGCGGTGGCCGAATGACGGACCCGCTGTTTCTTTGCGGAGGTAGAGTCGGTGTGAAGCCGCCGGGGGGGGGGGCAGTCGGAGTGACGCGGGCAAGTACCTGGCGTCGCTGCAGTATTTTTTTAGGGTCGCTACCCTGTGATTCCTCTGCACCACTTTTCCCTGATCGTCTTTCACAACATGTTTTCCTTGCATGGATTGGTCCTGCGGCGATCGGGAGTCCAAGTTTTCAGCAGAAAGATTCATCATTTCTGTCAACATGGGCCACGGCGCGTGGCGCTGCTCTGTCGCATTCGGCGCTTGGATAGTTGAAATTTTTCCCTCCCACGTGCTTGGAGAATTTGTCAAGATTCATCTTCATCTTAAGATCTCGTTGTATCAATCTGTGTTGCTTCGTCGCCAGTGCTGCATTGCGGCAAAGTGCTACAGTCTCGGGGCTCGGTTTATGGACGACCGGCCTATCTTCGGGGTTGAACCCGTGGCGACGGGTCTTACCCCAGTACACTTTTTACGGCACTTCTACTACGGAGGAATAGTGTACGTTGGTGCAAAGCAATGGAAGGACGCCTTGGATAGCTTCCTGATGGTGAGTTCGGTCGACGTCGGCTTGCGGAGGTTCTCTTATTCACCTCGGGAACTTTATCGTTGAATTCGGCCATTTGTGCGCTCATCTCCCATGTTCGTTTGATGCATGTGTGAGAACTTAGGTTATTTCTGTAGACCTTCCCGACATCATGGCAGCCTGGTATCCACTACCTAGGCCAGCAGGCAAGTGTTTTCCCGTGAGATTGAGGCAAGGAGGGAGGAGGCAAAGAAAAGAGTGGGTAGATGGGGGAGCCTCAACGAGGGGCCGCGTGCCCGCGCCAGGAGGTGGCAAGGGTAATGTCCACCAGTGGGATCCCGATATTCAAGGGTTGGTGCAGTGTCCCGAGGACAATCTCGCTTCACTCCTGTTTATGTGTGTATGAACACCGCACTTGTGATACATCTGTCATCCACATATATATGCTCAACATGACCTCGTGAGCACCATTCTTCCGCTCCATGCTCCATGACCGCCCGTTTCGTTTTCGCGCATGTGAACACCATTTGCATTGGTTTCTGTTTGTCTCCCAGCTCCTCACCATCCCGGCGAACGTGTTGAGCTCCCTTGTGGTAGAGGGGTACAAGAAGATGATGCTGGTGTCCCTGATCATTTCTGGAAAAGTTCCACCTCTCCCCAAGTACGCGTCCAATTCCGTCACGCGCCACCTGAAGAGCCACACTTCTGACTACGAAGCCCTGGTGTCATGCTTCCAGGTTAGAAAATTTTCCAGTTATTCCCGCGCGGATTGTGTCGTGTGGCCCGCTCATTGTTTAGGCCCAGCGCCGAAGGATACGGTACGATAGGTTGCGTAAGATGCCGTGCTCTTTGAGATGCCACGCCCTCTGCGGAGTCCGCTTCCTGCGGTAGATATGTCATTGACCCTCATGCGTTCCACGCCGATATGTAGCATGCCATGCCAGCCCAATCATGAGTCAGCACCAGCCGTACAAAGTTGCAGCGGCCATCCGCTTGGACGAAAGAGAAGCAACAGTTGCTGAATAGGGACCTTATTCGTTTTTGTTGCGTTTCGAATGCGTCTTCCAGGTGGGAGATGTCAAGGGGCTCAACGCGGCGGTGGTTGCAGGAAGTGAGAAGTTCAGCCAGGTACAGCACACATCACCTCGAGCGTTGTTCCTTCCTCGAGTACTCGCTGTTGACTGACCGACACACGCGGCGGTCACTCTCAGCTAACCGTTGGAATCCTCCTGTGTTGTCGTTATGCGTCGCGGGCTAGCTCGTTGTTCACCACAGCAGATGCATTAGAAGAGGGCTGACGACGGGATCGGTGTCAACCTTTGTCGGGCACTGACTACCCGTCGTGTTTCCGAGTGGTGCTTTTTGTCTTCTAGCGCCGTTGATAGGAAACTTTTGCTGCTGACGGTGATTACACTTTTAACCGATACACCGCGGACTCAGACTCACCTGCGCCCCTTCTTCGTGATTCCGTGGCCATGAAAGTGCACCGCTGCTGATGCTGGGATGGTATTATTCTTCTACATCAGCTTTGAAACTGAATGACTGCTACACACCGCGTGTTCTACCCGTGGCTATCAGGATGGCAACATGGGGCTCGTGAAGCAGGCAGTGACCGCCCTCACCAAGCGGAAAATAACCGAGCTCACTCATACCTACATCACACTACCTTTGAGTGGTAAGCAAGCGTGATCCTTGGGGCGGATGTTTCGTTTTGTTGCAGGTGAGCAGCAGATCTCGAAGTATCTCTCGCTATTCTTGTGCCGAAAACCTTCTTGTCACACCACGTCTTTTTTTGTGTGTGGCGACGGGGTGCAGATATCTCCGATAAGGTTGGACTGGCACACGCTGACGATGCTCAAGGCTACATCTTGAACATGGTGGAGGCTGGGGAAATATGCGCCCAGATCGCGTACCCCGCTGGAACGGTGCACTTCCGGGAAGACACCAACACGCTTTCGTCGACAACCATGACGGCGCGGTTGGAGGCTGACTTGCGAAGCACTGCAGAGCTGACAGAAAGAGTTCGGAAGCTGGAGGCCAGGTTGATCGTCAACCCAGTTTTCATCCAGAAGGTGAGCAGCATGGCATTCTATTGTAGCCCCCTTAGCGAACACCAAGCTGTTGATGGAAACATCGCAATCATCGCGCAAGGACTCACAGGGCATCGTCTGCCTTGTCTTATTATCCTCGTGAAGACAAGTGCGTTTAGTGGTCCAGGTGGGGGCCGCCGTTCCTTCTTCTAGTATCATCCCACACGCTCGTGTCTCGTGTCGCCTCGTATGTATTGGTTTCGATCATGGCAAGAGCGTGCGCTGTGGAAAACCAACCAGCCCATCTACCACCCGATGAGCAAACCTTCTATGCATTGAATTGATTTATGCCCAACAACATTTCTCCGTGTTCCCGAACGGCAGATGGTCGGCGATCACTCTCTGCCCGGCGCTGGCCTGGGAGCCGCGGCCGGATACTCAGCCTCGTGGGACGACATTGGCATGGGAGATTGATTGAACATGACTATGGCTTTCGCGTGGGAGATTCGGTGCCTTTTGTCTGGCTGATGGCGGCTTCGTTGTGCGAACATGCGCATTAGATGTAGTGGAGCATGTGAAACCGGTGGTTGCTGGTGTTTGACCAATGAAACAACCGCGCGCGAATATGATGTGCCGGATGGGCTGCAATAGGTTGAGCGTGCATGTCATGAAGACCCTGCATGGCTGCGTCGGCTGTGTGCTGGTGTTTCTCCGCCTTGAAGTATCCACGTGCTTGATCATGCTTAACTTTTTATGGCCAGCAAGCAGCCTGCTACGCTTATGACAATAGAGACAACACTCTGCTATACGGTGGTCGCTTCAGTTCGTGCATAACCGCAATAAATACTGCTGCTGTTGCATGCACACTGACGACGCTTCTTGTTTTGTAGGTGCTCATGTTGACATGTATGTGCTCTATACTCCTACCCTCATAACAGTCGTTGAGAGGTGATGCTACCTTCGGGTGTGTTTGGGTAGACTCTTTCTTGAAGTTTCCTCGGTCCCAGCAATGGCGATACCCTTCTCGCACGTGGCACTGGCACTCAGTGCACTTCTGGATCATCGTTGGCTGCCCACATAGCAGAGCATTTTGATCCGTTCAGTACTACCTTCTGATATCCGTAACGGTCCAACTGACTTGGGCGCTTCCCGTGGTCATAGGCCAACTAACCCAAAAAGGACAAACGCTTACACATATTACATCTAGAAATCAAATTGAAGATAAGAATGGACTCAGAAAATCCGAAGAAAACGCGATCAACTCATCGCAGATCATAAAAAAAAGAAGGACGGGAGGTGAGGGTAGGTCCTACGTAATTGTTTTGGACTCGAACATTAAACAAGCGGCGTAATCATGTGATTGGCGAGGAAGGTCCAACAGCCCAAACAGATGTTCGAGTTTTCGAGTTTTTGTAAGCCGGATCTTCCAGGGGCGATTCCGCCTAAAACTATTAGTCTAACATCTTTCCACAAAAACTCGAAAACCTATATACCTAACCTACAGTCCCGTGGACTATTGGGGCCGAATTGGTGACAAAAAAGAAAACCCGCACGCA